TCATTATTTGTTTATTCTATCTATTTTATTATTAGCTAGTTTATTAATATTGATTTCGATCAAAATTGATAAGCAAAAAATCTGATTTAACCTGCAATAGAAAACCCTTATCCCAAGTCATCCTACATCATCACACATGAATCTTAAAGGCCTTACAGAAATATTAAGATGTTAAGTGTTGGAAGGGGAAATCGGACAATTGAAATATGAAATTTCAAATTTCCAAACTCAAATTCCAGCTGTCCACGAGAATATAGATGGGAAGTTTTCCATCATGGAAGAGATGATGAAGAAGATGCTCGAGATCCAAACCAAAATGATATCATCAGAGGCAAGGGCTGCCGCCGGCAGCCACGGGAGTGGGCAAAACCCTAATCCAATAAAGAGAGGGGAAGAATAAAAAAAAAAACAAGAGATGGAGATCTTGGAGGGAGAAGAGAGAGAGCCTCCTCTTGAGCCTATTCCTAGTGAGGAGACAAGTAGAAGGTATGGGGAGAGATGTGAGGCGGTTGGGTATGAGTGAATGGGTGATGAATCTAAAAGTAGAGGGGTTGATTATGAGCAAAGTGGTGCTGAATTTAAAGAGAGGGGTTGATTATGAGCAAAGGGTGCTTAATTTGAAAAGAGAGAGGCTAATTATGAGCGAAGGGGTGTTGAACTTGAAAGTAGAGGGACTGATTATGACCAGAGGGGTGCTGATTTTAAAAGGAGGGTTTGGATACGAGCATAGAAGGGATGATCGGAACACTTTGGCACGCAGGGGGGGGGGGCATGGGGAATAGGAGGTTATGGAGGAAATATGGGAAATAGAAGAGATCCGAGGGTAAAGAACCTGAAGATATCGTTGTTTAAGAGAGAGGATGCACATGGATGAATTTACAGGATGAAAAAATACTTTGCCGTCAAGACTGACAGTGGTCGGGCTGTGCTTGGATGAGAAGGCATTGGCATGGTACCAGTAGAGGGATATGAGACAACCCATATGAACCTAGAGAGAGTTTAAGGACTACTTGTTGGAACATTTCCTAACCAACAGGGGAGGAAACTTTTATGAGCAGTTATTCGCTCTGACTTAGGAGGGAACCGTGGTGAAGTACCGTGAGAGGTTTGAGCACCTCACCAACTGATTGGACTGACTTTTGGAGACTGTGCTGGAGGGAAACTTTATGAAAAGACTCAAATCAAATATTAGAGAGGCAGTTAAAGTGACAAGTCCTCGTGATTTGGGAGAGGTGATGGAGCTAGCCCAATTATTGGAGGATCAGAGGCACTTGGAGAGAGGCTAGAGGCAGCATCTCAGGAGGTTCATGCAGGATGACCACCATCGTTTTTGCTCCCAAGAGACCAACACCGAGTATTCTTAAGGAGGCCTCGAAGGAGAAGACCATAAGATGGTGAATTGGAGGAAACTTCAAAAAGCTCACTAAGACGGAGTTACAGGAGAAGATGGTGAAGGGGCTGTATTTTAGATGTGATAAGAGATATGCATTGGGGCACACGTTAAAGACCAAACTCTTTAGGCTCTCGCCATCTACAATGACAAGGAAACTGGGGAGGGTGGTGGGAGTGAGGCAATGGTGGAGGAAGAAAAGCTGCATATAGACATGGCAGAGGTCTTATTAAACTCAGTGTGAGATTCACTCCAAATCACATCATGAAAGTGGAAAGGATAGATAACAGACAGGGAGATAGTGGTGTTGATAAATAGTGGGGCTACTCACAATTTCATCTCCAACCAGGTCATAGACTAATTGGGGCTGAAATTGGTGGATGCAGGGTGCTACGGGGTGATGACGGCCACAAAGAAGGTGGATACATGCAGAGAAGTGTGTAGAGGGATGGTTCTAACTATACAGGGGGTCCAGGTGAGGGAGGACTTCCTTCATTGGAGTTAGAGAGCGTTGATGTCATCCTGGGGATGAAATGGTTGTAGACCTTGGGAGACACCATGATGCGGACATCGGTACGAAGATTTGGCGCATCTATCACAGGAGGCGTCGCAAATCGACGGCTATAATTTAAATCTTCAATTATGAGTTATTTTTCTGAATTTTAGTTCTTATTTGATGTATTTCCGGTTTTACCCATAGGTTGGTGTTGTGGCCCAAGGGGCAATCTTGTATTTTGAGTTTTCTTATATTGTGGCATATATATCGGGTCATAAGCTATTATAATAGGGATGAATTATTGATATTAAAAATTTGTGTTCAACACTTATGTTCTTTTGAGAGGATGATAGTGAGATTCCTATGGGAAGGAATCGGAGTTTTCACCAGCCGCAGGATGGGTCCGGGCTCGTGACTTGAAGTCCCTTGGAGAAGGGCAAAAGCATCACCCGTCAGTCTTCGAAAGAGTCCAAGGCTCGCGGTTCTTATCTTTTATCTTTTGTTTTATGTCTTATTTTTATTCCTTGTTGCTTCTAGTCGTTTATCTTCTTCCTCTACCTCCGTCCACCATCGTCGTTTCCATTTCCACCATAAGCCGCCGGCCACCTCACCAGAAAATCCTCCAAACCACTCGGCCTCATCCTCACTTCTCCGTCTCCTTGAAACTTCCTAATTAGGTTGATGATTTAATTGGGATGATCAAAGATTTCAAATCCGTTTGAATTTGAATTCGAAATCTTTCCTAATTTGATTGTTCTATTTTAGGAAAGTATTCGAATGACATCCTTTTGAATATTTTATTCATTGGGATTTAAATTGAAATTTTCCTAATCCCAAAACCTAAATTAGGAAGGTCAATTGACTCCATAATTTGCTCCCCCATCCTATGCTAGCCGCCGGCCTCATCCTTTTCTCATCTCTCCTTGGATTTCCTAATTTGGGGTGCATGATATTAGGACTTAATTTGAAATTCAAATTGCTTAAAATTTGAAATTTAAATTTCTTTCCTAATTTAGTTCACCTATTTTGGAAAGTGCTTAATTGAAATCAATTTGAATTTTAAATTAAATTGGATTAGATTATTTACTTTCCTAATTCTTTAAACCAAATTAAGAAGCCTTAAATGCTCTCATTAGATGCCTCCCATGCTCCTTCATGCCGCCAGCCCCTACAGAGAAGGTTTTGGATTTATTTCCTAATTCCTGTTTAGCTTCACTTGGAAATTTTTCCTCCAAATTTCAGCCACCTCTCTTAGCTGACTTTGAATAAATTGATTGCTTAATTGATTCCCAAAGAAAGCCCACTCAATTTGGAATTAATTTGAAGGCCTCCTCTCCCCTTGCCGAAATTAATTCCAACTCCTGATCAACATCCCTCCTAAAATCTGAGATTATTCCAAATTTTGTTACGGGATTATCTCCAATCCCTTATCCCTCTTCAATCTTTCAAGAGAATTGATATTTGGATTTCCTTCCCCAAGTCCCCAATTCTTATTCATAAAAACCTGAAATTTCTCTCAGAGTTTTGGATCAAAAGCTGAGATTGTTTTCAGATTTTTTAAGAGAAAGAAGTTTGGAGCTTGCTTCCCCTCCTCTCTCAAGAGAAAATCTGAGATTCTTCTCAGGTTTTGGGCAAAGAAGTCAGAATTTCCTTCAGATTTTGGAGAATAGATTCTCTCCCTAGCAAAGCCGTTTTCCCGTTCTACATCACACCAAGGTCAATTGAGAAGCACTGACTATGTAAATGATGGTTGAGAGAAGGAGAGTAGTGATCAGGGGAGATACAGGGCTATCCAAATCCACGATTTCTCTCAAAACCATGGTGATGACCATACGAGAGGTGGGGGGAGGATTTCTGGTAGAGTTGCAGAGTTTGGAGGGGATCATGGTAGAGGAGGGGGGAGACATCATTCTTTTAGTATAGCTGATTATATAGCAGTTCAGTTAGATCTTTCATCCATCTCCAAGATGGCTACCAATGAGGGAACATGAGCATCAGTTGCAGGCTAACCTGAAGAACTTTTGCTCTGCACAGCCCAGTGTGAAGTACATGAGGTACAAATCAAAGAGGAGAATTTGCCAGAATATGAGGCCACATGGGATTCGTATGAGATAATCAGGAGACAATTCTCATCCTTCCACTATGAGGACAAGGTACATCTTTGGGTGGGGTGGCGTGGGGTGGGGGTGTGCGGTGGGGTGGGGTGGTATTGTTACCCCCAGACCATGGGAGGGCGAGAGCCTTTTGCCCAGTTCAATAGAACTGAACCCAACTGAGAATTGAAAGGGGCCCCCTTAGTGGGGACCATTAAAGCTTTAATTCAAAATGAAAGGTGGAGAAATAGAGGGAGAGATATTTAGGAAGAAAAGTATGTTGATTTGGGAGGGAATTAGGGAAGCTTATTTAGAGCTAATTATAGGGTGATTTCAGGATTATGTGATTTGTGTTTGTTGTAGTCTTTTTTGAGGGGGCTAGCCGTCGCCTAGGGATTTGGGAGAGCCGAATATTCCTCTCCAATTGAATATCCAACTGTATTTGATGTTTCTTTCATATATCTTTCAATAAAAAGAGTCTTGGTGTAATCTTCTTACATTTTTCTTAGTGTCATTCGTTGATTTTTGAGGAAATTGCATCCACTTCATATCAGAAGACATTAAATTATAACAATGTTAGAAGCAATTGTACCTTGACTAAGAATCTTCCTAGCTAAATGATGATGCGGTATCCTCCCATCATTTCTTTCAAGGCAATTAAAGCACTAAGTTCTTTCCAAAAGTAAAAGAAAACACTGTTTAGCTCTAAGAGATGCGTTATTAAGTCACAATATTGATGCAAATCAAATAAAAGAAAATTAATAGAAGCCCATCAAGCTATATAAGTACTCATCAACTTTATCTGTTATTGTCAAATATACAAATAACTTCAAAATAGAAACAGAAACTTCATACTAACTTACCTACTATATCATCCGAAAAATTACTAACATCTACAAGATCAACCATCATTTGGATCAAGTTAACTCACAGTTACAAATGTCACAAGCAAAATAAGAAAAAATAAAATGAAATGCATATCACCGGAATTAAATGGGCTTTCAAAACTTCAAAAGCGTACCACAATGTTCTCATTAAGAGTATCCCGCTCTTCAAATGTCTTATCAAGAGTAATCTTCCCAAGTTCACTCCTCATAGTAGTTTGGGCCAGCTGGATCACCGCATATATCGGGTTCTCCACTCCGTACGAAGCAAGACACGGGTCAACAATCTAGAAGAAGCGATAAGCACTGCTCGAATCAGTAACCAACATATCGAATAACTCAAAATCCGCATCCCTAATAGAATAGCCCAAACCTTGACGTACAAAACTCCATCAATGAGTATGCTGACATTATCCTTGGTAATGGCAGACTGGTCCGGGATCGGGATCGCCTCCTCCTTGAGCGAGTGAACGTAAGCGATTCTATCAACGAAGGGAACAAGGAGGTGAATCCCAGAGGATAGGGTTTTAAGATACTTCCCGAATCGTTCCACTACGAATGCCTTCTTCTCGGGGACAATGCGGATGCCCCAGTTTGTCGGCGGCCCTGGTTGCTCATAGCTGCACCGATCAGGATATATGGTTAGGTGAGAAAGGGAACAGAGGAGCATGGAAGCTTTGAAGGAGAGTTTACCGAGCTGCCGAGAAGTCATCGCGGGAGCGGCCAGAGCGGAAATGGCGGATTAGGAGGACAGGGGGAGGATTTTGGTTGAAGGGGCTTGAGCGGCGGAAAGATGCTGCAGCGTGGTGGGCGATGGAGGAGGCAAGAGCGATTCCGGAGGGTCTTGCTCTCCACAGAGCCATTTTCTGTTTCCGGAATGATTTTTGGATTCTGGAAGAAAACCCTCGCAAAAACCTGGACCGAGGTGTATTGAGCTTTTTCCTCTAGCTGGAGAGCAAGCTTCGCAGACCGGGGTGATCGGTCCGTTGAAAACCTGGACCGGGGAGTTTTGAGTTGAAAATAAAAGCTAAAAAAATTAAGAAGATTGCCCGAGGAAAAAAATTTATTTGCAGTGATGTTTTCAAGTTTTATGTTATTTACAGGAATAATATCAAAATATAGATCTTATGTGCGGAGTTCTAACGAGAGAACCGTCCAATTTTTATGTCCAGTAAAAATACAATAAAAGTGGAGTATTGTTCACAATCATTGTGTTTTTACTGTGCACACTCATAAAAATCGGACACTTTCGATTCGGACTCCGCATGTAATAATCTCCACTGCTACCACCCATCAACCACCATCACCGCCCTGTACCACCTCATGCTAGCTTCCAACGAAAATTATATAACTATCATTCATAGGAGCACTGGAGCATCCGATAATGAAATTTTATATACTAATCTATGAAATTCTTAATTTCTTGGATGAGTTACTTCAAATTAAATAGAAATTTTTATGTTATTATATTAAAGTTTTGTTTGAGACCCTTTTTTATGACTTCTTAAAGCAATAATATTTTTATTAGAAAAAAATCATTTCATAAAATTTTAAACAATAAACTGTTAAGTTATTGTTCTTGCCTTGTAAAAATTAACTTTTTATATATAGTTTAATAGCATATTACAAATTAAAAAAAAAATTACATACATATCAATAAATTTTTATATATTTACATATCTAACATCTAAATTTATATATTTACTTACATATTATTTTAAAATTTCAATAATATTTGAATTTATACAAGAAAAAATATATATTTTATGTTAAATATTAAGGTTTCGTTTGGGACGACTTTCTTATTGCTTCTTAAAACAACTTTTTAGTATACAAATTTTAATTTTTTTTACTATTAAAAAACTGTTTTAAGAAACAGTAATAAAGTTAACCCAAACGAAGCCTAAATTTCCTTTAAAATGAATAAAATATACAAACAATTAATTAAAAGTTGAAATAAATTCATGAATTAGAAACATTTTTCAAAATAAATTAATATTTCACTGAGAAAGAAATTCAAAATACATTTCTTGAATAGAACAAGTGCAGGTAGCCAATCAATAATATACTTTTATTTGAATATCTGATTACAAATTCAAATCTAAAACTCCATGCTTCAATTAGCTATATATATATATATATATATAAATATGGAGAATTATTTCCTGTAACTCTTCAATAACTTAGAACCTAAAACCAAGACATGGTCTGCCAAATTCAGATAGAGGGAACAAATCACTCCAAAGGCAGAGAAAGAGCAGAAACAAAAATGTACAGGAGCATTCAAATGGACTCCCATGATCAACTATAACTTATCTGCTATCCTACCAAGAGCATCAGCAAGCTTGTTCAGAACACCAAGAAGGCCATTCACCTGATCCTTCCTCTGTTCTCTGTCTAGTTGGGTGTTTATGTTCTGCGATTCGAGCTGTGTCGCGAGCATTCTATTGTTTCGATCAAGCATTTCGATAATCTGGAACTGCAAGCTGGAGCTGTCTTCCTCATCTTCATGGGATGTTCGCCGCCGTTTCCGGTTTTCTCGCTTCGGAGACTCCTTGCTCGAGTTTTCAGCAGGAGTTTGCTGCTTATCTTTGGAAGGACCTGTAGCTTCTAATTCATATGAAAATATGATATGATGCTTCAGTATAGTGAATAACCAAGAGCTTAAAGTTTCATAATTCAAATAAACAAATTGTTGCTAGTTCCAAAACATGGGATCAAATACAGCAATAGAGAAGTGGACATTCTTAAAATGATAATACCACAGCTGATGAAGATACCATAATTTAACATTATAGAATAGCATAAAATAGATAATGTAAGCAATAATTTAGTCTATGCTTTTTTTGATAGATATAGTATCCTTTATAGACATCACACATTAGAGAAAAATAATTCCAAGGGGATGTTTGGTTGCAGGGTTTATCCAAGATTTAGGCTTCGTTTGGTACGGCTTTCTTATTGCTTCTTAAAGCAGCTTTTTAGTACAAAATTTTAGCTGCTTTAAGAAGCAACAAGAAAGCCGCTCCAAACGAGACCTTAGACTGTATTTAATGTAAATACACCCAACTGGATTTTTTTCTGGGTAATTACTTGATAACTTCCCAAAAGGTTTGTTAGATACCACCTGGAACCTGGATATGGCCATTTGTCAACGCAAATTTGCTTTAGAACATTGTTATGTCATATATAATCTAAATGTAAAAAAAAAAAATCATAAATCTTAATTAAAAAATGTATGATTTCAACATTTTGTAAATTTTCAGCATTATTTATTATTTATTCATCAAGCTGAATAAAGATGATCCATACAATAACAACAACAACATCAAGCCTTTATCCCACTAATAGATGATCCATAGATTGAGATAAATTTAATATTAAGTTTAGAATAAACATATTTTGATGAAAGCATTCTCTACACCTATTTATATTTGAAAAAAAAAATTTGAGATAACACAATTCATGTTAGGATGGGTATCATTGACCTTGGATGTGCATTGAAATTAGTGTTCTATATGATACTTAAGGAATGCACCAATCTTAGCACAAACCCAAGAGCAATGAAGTCCATCTTGACGTACGTGAATTCTATCAGGAGAATCTGCCACAATGTCTTTCCTTCGGATTTTACGCGATATAAAAATAGTGATATGCAAGAACCAAATCAATAAGTTTTACTATAATTAAAATATTTTGCTTCAGTTCAATTCTCAAGTCCTATCCAAAGCATTAAAACTTGGGATTAGTGACATGAGAATTAAGTGTAAGTGGATGAAACAGTTAATATGATCATTAGGGGGATACATAGCATTCAACAAAATCTCAAGGGAGGTATATAATAATTACCCAATTTTTTTTAGGCTTTCTTCATAAATTTAGTATTTCAAATCCAGAATTTGGTTAATTTTGACCTTAAATTCTAGCTTGTGTAAATTTTGTCAATAGAAGGATTTAAGGTACTTGAAAGTGTAGGTTTTAAGGATTTAGAAAATCCATGTACTTGCATCCAAATAGTTATAGGAATTTAATATATATTAAAGATATTGACAATTAAGCTTTTTTTTCTCAGAATTTCATATATTTGGATTTATAAGATTTACTAATATTTGCTTTTCCATATTAGATTTAGGCCATGTTTGGGGCGGCTTTTACTGCTTCTTGAAACAATTTTACAGTACAAAAGTTAAAATTTTTGTACAAGATAGCTGTTTTAAGAAGAAATAAGAAAGTTGTCACAAAAAAAAGATTTAGGAAATCGATGTACTTGCATCCAAATAGTTATAGGAATTTAATATATATTAAAGATATTGACAATTAAGCTTTTTTTTTCAGAATTTCATATATTTGGATTTATAAGATTTACTAATATTTGTTCTTCCATATTAGATTTAGGCTATGTTTGGGGCGGCTTTTTTACTGCTTCTTGAAGCAATTTTATAGTACAAAAGTTAAAATTTTTGTACAAGATAGTTGTTTTAAGAAACAATAAGAAAGTTGTCACAAAAGAAATCTTAGATGAGAATTTGACTATTAATCGGACACAATGGAGAAAAAGGATTCATGTAGCTGACCCATAGTAGGATAAAAACTTGTTGTTGTAATACTAATATTTGCTTTTCCTCCATGCTACCAAACAGCCCCTTCAATGTTAAAATAGTTGTACCTCATCATTACTCAATCAGACTACTTTTCACAAAAAAAAAGGTGGAATTGTCACAGTAAGTTAAAGGAAATTCTGTCACCACGCTGCCTTTTCTTTAAAATGACATGAATCTTCGAAAAACTTTCACAGCTACACATATCCAGAATAAACAAAAAAACAATATTTAATAGAGCGTTTCTTAAAATGTATTTTTGCTAAAATTTGATTCAACGAAGACAGTTGATATTGATCAATTTGTTGTTACTCCAAAGTTGGAACTCAGATGAATATCTTATGATAAACAAGAAGATAACTTGAAAACAAAAGTCGATTTCATGGTAAAATTAGCAGCAAAAATATATTAAAAAAAAAAAAACTCAATGAAACAAAGCATAACCTGGAGTAGATTCCTCCTCTTGAACTAATTCCAACTTCTTCTCTGCAATCAAACGAAAAAGCCAACAAAATGATCAATCTCAACAAAAGAAATTAAATTTAAGGGCAAAAAAATCAACAAAAAGCATGGGAGTATTTTAAAAATAATTAATTTGTGGGCCAAATTTTAGAAAGAAGCCGGACATTTCTTAAAATTAGTTTAAGGAGCGCATTTAAAAAAAAATTTAAAAAGGAGCAAAATAGCCAAATCATTTGGCGTATTCTGAATACGTTAAATGATTTGGCGTTTTCTGAATAAGCTAAATGATTCAGCGTATTCAGTTAAAAAAAAATTGTCATGTACAGAGAGAATGTGTAAGAGTGAGAGAGAGACAAGATGAGGGAGAGAGAAAAGGGGGAGAGAGAGGGCCAAACGGCATTGAAAGACAATAGAGAGAAAGATATGAATAATGTACTTTTTTATATATAATATTATGTAAATGTTTTTTTTAATATTAGTAATTTAATTTATTAAATAATTATTTATAAAAACTTTTTAATTAAAATAAATAAACTTTTTAATTATTTAATTTTTTAAATACTTAAGCAATTTAATTTATTACAAAATCTTTTAAATTTTCATTCTAATAAAATATTGATAAAAATTAAAATTATAATTGAATATTATTTTTAATATAAATAATTTAATAAAATATATTCTAATGAATTTTTAATATTACAAATTTAATTTATTACAAAAGCTTTAAAATTTTTATAAAAATAGAATAAAAATGTAATGAAATATTATTTTCATTTTCATTACATTTATATTAAATGGCCTAAAAAATTAATTAAAAATTATTTTTATACCTATTTATTTTAATTAAAAAGTCTATAAATAATTATTTAATAAATTAAATTACTAATATTAAAAATAATATTTACATAATATTATATATAAAAAAAACACGTCTTCCATCTCTCTTTCTCTCTCGTGTCTTTCCATGATGTAGCCCTCTCTCTCCCACTACCTATCTCTATCTCTCTCTCTCACATTCTCTCTCCATGCCAATTGTTTTTCTTTTTAACTGAATACGCAGAATACGCCAATTGATTTAACTATTTTGCTCTTTTTTAATTTTTTTTTTTAATGTGCTCCTTAAACTAATTTTAACAAATACTGTGCTTCTTTCTAAAATTTGACCTCAAAGACTCATATAATTTTTTTCCTTCATGAAATTTACAAGAAAATATCATCTTATATGAGTTGCTATTAATTTATCTTCATCAAATAATACTAATAATTTCTCTCACTATCACCACAATATTCAACACGCAACAGTTCCATTATTCATAGAATAAAAATAAAAAAGTAGAAAGCAATACCAAACGAACGCTACATGTGCTTTGAATTTAGGAAAATTCATAAGCCTCAAGCATGTAAAAATATTAAAAGAACCTGATAGATCTACTGGAAACAATCCTGACATGACGTCAGCCGGCTATGTAAAACTGATGACGCACCTCTGCCTTCGTCTTCAACGGATGAGCTCGACTCTTATTTCCAAGTTGCTTCCTTTTGCCCTTTCTCATGGCTTCATGGCGTATCACACTATAAAAGCAGCAATAGAGCAACCATACGCCCATTCTCACCAAAGAAGTTTCTTTTTTTTCTGCTTTGTCACCAAGGAAGAGGAATGGCCTCCTCAGAAGCAGAAGGCTCGTTACCGCCGGCGATGGCGCTGGTGATTGATGAGCTGACAAAAGGCCGTCAGTCCGTAGCCACACTTGCTACCCTGCTTTTTGTTGATCCGCTGGAGTTGCAAACCGCAAAACTCCTCCTTGAAGAGACTATGAGCACAATCTCCAAAGCAATTGCAATTCTGGAGTGTGTAAATAGCCAACAAGACCACACGGCGGTTCAATTGGAGTCCCCTTCTTCTGCTGTCACAAGTAAGGGTCCAGTAGGGAAGAGGAAGATCCAGAGCACAAGGAAGGCGGCCAGCAGGAAAAGGTAATTGATGATTTCAATTATGGGAAGGGAGTGTTTGGTCATTAACCAAGAAGGAACAAGTGGTTGTTGTAGAAGTACTGATACTAACCAATCAAATAGGCTTTTGCAACTCAAATTCAAGTGTAGGGACAATTGCACCTGCTTGTTTTCAATATTTTCAATCTATAAACTCTTCTTCTTCTTCTTCTTCTTCCTTCTGTTGTTTTTTGAAGCTTAATAGCTTATTCAGTTATTTTCTGTTTGGCTTGCAGAGGGAATCCATATTCCTGGAAAAGGGTTACTTCAGCTACCATTGAAGATGGTCATACATGGAGGAAGTATGGGCAGAAAGAGATATTTAGTGCTAAACATCCAAGGTATTACTTTATAGAAGGGGAAAATTAGAACAAACTAATCAATTATCATAAAAACTTCCTGCAGTTTCTTCAGAAAAGGCTTATGATTAACTTCTTGAACAGCACTAACTATCTGCATACCATGTTCTTGCAGAAGCTACTTCAGATGTACATACAAATATGATCAAGGCTGCAAAGCGACAAGGCAGGTGCAGAAGTCGGAAGAAGACCCCTTTTTATATGTGATCACTTACTTTGGGGAGCACACATGTGAAGCTGCGAAAGAGAACAATCCTAGATGCAGAGAACCATGTGTTGTTAGCTTTGAATCTAACAAGATCAATGAAATCAAGCAAGAGATTGCCTTCTCTTCCTTCCCATCTCACAAGCAAGAAAATGAGGAAGAAGTTGTAAGCAACCTCACCTCCGTTGATTCTCGTTCAAACTGCTTGGAGCAGCCAGCGATGGAGTTACATAAGTCATCTATAACAGGATTGGAGCCCGGCTGGAGTGATTCATCTTCGGGCTTGAACTTTTCCATCAACAGTTATGATGTGGAATTTATGGATCTTGAGGACATATTAAGTTTTGAACTAAATGAATTTTTTGCATGGTAGGTTAATGTGGAGACCTCAGTTTCTGTCACTGGAATGTATGGAGTTCGTTCAGAAGAGAGTTTAGCATCCTCTTTCCTGTTCCAAAGTTTCGAGTTTGACTTAGTATAGGAGAAGAAGATTTGATATAACTTCAGCATCGAGACAGTGAATGTAAAAAATAGCTACTGCTTTTTGTAGCCGTCCCTGATAAAAGTTATTTCGGTGTTCTGTAGATTTGGTATCACTTATTTGTAAACAGTTTGGAAATTTTGATGATGTAGAGACCTTAGAATCATTTCCCAACTGCCTCAGCAAGAATCTGAGCACCGCAACCTTCCGTGCAACTTCGGTTGAAGTGGTTTTAGCTAGTCCTTGTTTCACACCATTAGATTGCCATCAAAAGTACAGTCTTCTAATTAAACCACTCTTTTTTTGTCAGAACAAGTAGATTTCGTTTTGATATCATCTAAAAATATTCAGCAGAAACCAAATCCTTAATTATTCCAGGAGAACAAACTAATCACAATGATTCGAACCCTTCAACAAGTTTCATATTTCTTTTGAGGCTTCTTAGGGAAGCATGGATTTCTGTGGTCAATGCAGAGGATGAATCCCCGGAATTAAAAACTTGAACTTTATCCACAACCTCAATCCAACTGCAACCTGGATTCTTGGGCATTCCTGCTTCTTTCATCTGAACTCTAAGGCTTGCAGCCTTCTCCCGCAAGCCCATCTCCCCATAAAAATTCAAAACTTGAGTGTAGCTTCCACTTTCTTGAGGCTTTGCTTTAATTAGGCGACCACTGGCTATTTCTCCAAGATGCAAGACCCTGTGAGATCTACAAGCACTTAAAAAGCATAGCCATATCCTCTGATCAGGCTCCACCGGCATATCTTTAACGAAGCAATAAGCTTCATCCAGGCAACCCGCACGACCGAGTAGGTCCACCATGTTTGCATAATGCTCCATTGCAGGCTTTATTCTGTAACAATTTATCATAGAATCGAACAATTTGCGCCCTTCCTCTACTAAACCAGAATGGCTACAAGATGAGATTAAAGATAGAAATGAGGTTCCATCTGGTATTATCTTCAATTGCTGCATCTCATCAAACAAATTTATTGCCTTCAAGCAATGCCCATGAGAACCATATCCAGCTATCATTGTATTCCAAGTAACGAGGTTCCTAACGGTCAATCTGTCAAAAATCAGTTGTGCATATCTCAGGCAACCACATTTCATATACATGTCAATGAATGAGTTCCCAACAATTTCATCACAGAAAATTCCATTTCTCACTAGATATCCATGTATCATTTTCCCTTTACCTAATGCTGCAAAAATGGAAACTGAAACAAGAACACTGGTAATAGAAACAGAATCAGGAAGCAAGCCATTTTGAGCAATTCCAGCAAATGCGTTGATTGATTCATCCAATAGGCCGTTGTGGCTGTACCCTGATATTAGAGAATTCCAGACCACGAGATTCTTTTTGGCAATGGCACAGAAGACGCTCGCTGCTGATAATGGCAAACCACACTTAGAATACATACAAATCAAAGCACTAGCCACAAATGGATCACATATGGTACCATTCTTTATAGCCAACGAATGTATCTCATAACCAAGTTGTAGCCAGTCCATGGTGGTGCAGGCAGATAAAATGCTTGCAATAATTACAGAATCTGGAATAAATCCTTCGGCACAGAACTGATTAAACATTTGTAAAGCATGATTATAATGTTTATTTTGGCAAAAGCCAGTGATCATAGAACTTAACAAAACAACATCCCATTCCTTCACTGAATTGAAAAGGATGATACCATCATGGACATCTCCAATTCTCATGTACATGCTTATTAAGGAACTTTGCACCGCAATGGTACTTAATTCTGGCATTTTTATCAATAGCCCATGAATTTTTCTTCCAAACTTCCAATGACCAACCATGCTGCAAGCAGAAATAACATTTGTTATCGTAATTGAATCAGGCTTGACGTTGCTAGCTCTCATTTGATTATAGGCATCCAAAGCTTCTGAAGCACAAGAATTACTGAAAAAAGCAGAAATCATCGAGTTCCATAGTTGAACTTCTTTGCTGGGCACAGAATCAAAGAGTCTGAAGGCCTCAACCATCGATCCAACATTAGCATACAAAGAAATCAAAGAACTGCAAACGTAAGAATCCAAATCAAATCCCATCTTTATGGCACAACAATGAACCCCTTGACCGAATCCACTTGCATCCAACATTGTGCACGCCACAAGAACACAAGAAGCGGTCTCAGACTGGACCTCGAAACCCTCAAACACCATCAGCACAAAAAGTTCCAAACTTCTGTCCCATAGACCATTATAACATAACCCTGAGATGAGAGCATTCCACATTGAAATGCTCTTATCAAATACCCCATCAAACACTTTGCAAGCTCTACTTACCTTCCCAGTTCTCGAATACGCATGCATCAATGCAGTGAGAGCAAAGGTGTCATGGTCCAATGCATTTCTAACAAGAAAACCATGAACTTGTTCACCTTGCTCGAGGCCCAATCCGCCATCGCTGCAAGCCTTGAGAAGAATGGTGAGAGAGTGACAATCAGGCCTCAAACCCGCAAGCTGCATTTGGCGGAGATATGCGAGGCCTTCGTGATAATGTTGCTGATGGAAATAGCCACCGACCATGGAGTTCCACACGGTGGCATCTCTTTGAGGCATTTGGTCGAACACGAGGTTGGCATCTGACAGATGGCCGCATTTAGAATAGAGGACGATGAGGGAGCTGGCAATGTAGAGATCTGAGTGGAGACCAAGTTGGAAAATAATGGCGTGGATTCTCTTCCCATGGGAAATGTCAAGGCGGGAAGAGCAATTCTTGAGAAAAGAAGGAACAGTGAACTTGTTCAGTTTAAAGTTGTAGTGAGCCGTTAAATGGAAGAGCCGGAGCTCGCCTGCCAAGGAAGAAAAATGCGGAGCATGCAGACGAAGAAGAACAGTAAGCATTTACTGCAATAACTTGGTCAGGAGTTGATATAAATGTATATTTAGGAATACAATAAAATGTTCAAAGTATAAAGAATTTCACTTATGTCATCAGATTAGAGATAGCTATCTTAGATGATTTGTCAATAAAACATCTTGTCTTCTGATAACCTATTTAAGGAAAATTTTTTACGTGAGGTGTCCGGATGCATCCGGAGGTCAATTCGGACGCGTCCGGAGGTCAATCCAGATGTGTCATGTCATCCAATACATAGTGCATTGGATAACATGACGCATCTGGATTGGTCTCTAAACACGTTTGGACACCGCACAGAATAACCTATTTAAGAGATTATATTAAAAATGATAGAGGTTGATCTAAAAAGATTTTTTTTTTGGAAATAGGTATCCACTTGTTGTCACCCTTTAAAGGGTGCTTGGCGGCGTGATTAATCCTCGACTGACCTAGAACAACTACCCCAGAAATCTCCTGGTTAACCCTTGATTGGGCCCCACTTAAGAGGCGCTACCGTTCAAGGAGAATCAAGCACGGGTTGGAAGGTTTCCAACCGTTCTCACCGACCAACCAAGCTAAGCAATGATGGGTAAAAAAGATTTTATTAGAAAGCATCATAAATGACTTTTTTATTATGTTTAAATGAGAATTTGATTTTTAGTAAGATACAATGGAGAAAAATAATTCATGTAGTCAACCTCATATAGTGTGATAAAAGTTTCACGTCATTATTGTTGTATAAATAATTTGATTAAAAATATTAAATATTTTTATAGTGATTATATATATATATATATTTTAATTAAAGCTCTTTCTATTTCAGTCATGTTTTTTATGATAATTTCGGTCAAAATCGAATCTCATATATATTCACATCGGCCTTAGATTTTTGTTTTTTTGTTTCAAATCGTAGGGCGCATTGGCTGTTTCACATTTCTTCTATAGATTTGACGTTTATGAATGTGGAGAATTCTAAAGATCAAATTTGTTTTCTTTCATTTGGTTCACACTTCACATCTATTGGTTATTAAGCAAATTTGGGCCAAATAAGCAACTGCTTTTAGATTATCTCAATTTATTTATTCATTTTTTTATTTAGGACAATTTTATTATTACTTCTTAAAGTAGGTTTTTAGTATATAAATTTTAAAAAATTACTTTAAGTAGTAAGAAAATTTTCCCAAAGCATCTTTTGGGACAGCTTTCTGATTGCTTTCTAAAGAAATTTTCTGGTACAAAAATTTCATGAATTATAAATTTTTGTACTAAAAAACTACTTTGAAAAATAGTAAGAAAACCATCCAAAATGAAGTCTTAGGCTTAGTTTGGCACAACTTTTTTGTTACTTTTTAAAAATAGAATTTTAGTAAAAAAATTAAAATTTTGTATTAATTTTTTTTTAAGAATCAATAAAAAAGTCATCACAAACGAAGCCTGATCATATTTTCTTCTCCATGATCTTGAGTTAAGGGATGTGTTGATGTTGTCCAACAACGATCATTCTAACCTTACTCGCCTGCCGACCATAGTCGCTCGTCTACGGTCCTTCCAATCTCATCCGCCCACCAACTACGGTCTTTCCGGCCATCATTGCTCACTTACAGTTCTTTCGATCATTGTTGACCGACTACAGTTCTTTCGACTATGGTCATCATTTTCGCGGTAGATATTGTATTTTCTCTTAGATAAAGTTGTGTTTTCTCGTCTCTCCAATCTTTTATAAAGTATAACTCTTCATTCACCACTTTTAAAGTTTATTAGATTATTTGATATTTGTACGATTGTGAGCAGGGGCAGATCTACCTAAAGCCCAGGGGTGGCAATTGCCCCCTAATTGCACCAAAAAAAAAAATTATTATTATATGATTTTTAGGCAATTTGTCCATCGTCATCTATTTTTTGTCTTTATTACAAGGGTTTTAAAGCAATTGCACCCCCTCCCCCCCTAAAAATTTTAAAATACTATCGTCTTTAGGCAATTACCTCCAGCATAATTAAACACATTATGTAGATGTGTTATTATTAAAGAACGATGAACCAAATACAAAGAGAAATAGTAAAATATCCTTACAGCCCAAAATTTATTCTGGGCAAGTCGAACCCCACGACCTGATCAGGCATGTCGAATTCTATTAGTGGGCGATGCCGCCTTAGACCCCAAGTATATCTATGAAATCTTTACACTTTTACTTATAAGTTTGTCCCCTGAAAAATTAAGGCTGATTTCGCCCTTGATTGTGAGCATAAGAGTTAATTTACATAAAATTTGATTTTCTATTTAATGGTACTTAATTTTTATTTTCAATTACTTTATGATATTCATCATACTTGCTCCTCCATTTATATATATATACTCGATTTCCTAACAACTAGTATCTAAGTAAAGTAATGAATACTAGAATGACATCAAATTCAATATTGAAAAGTTTAGTAGTTCAAAGAATTTGGCCTTTGGAGAACCAGGATGCATGGTGTAGTTGTCCAAAAAGAAACTATAAAAGCACTCATGGTACTTAACTAGCTGCTTAAAATCATAAGAAGTCATGATAAAGATGAATGAGAAGGCTCTCTCAGTCATTCAAATGTGTATGCCATATGAGGTCTTATTAGAGGACTTAAAAAAAATTATAGAATGTTTGTGGCTCAAATTATTGTCTTTCTATATGACCAAAAGCTCTTTGATAAACTTTATGAAAAATATTGATCTTATTTGCTTTACATGGAGGAATGTATGCCAATTAAGTCACATTTCAATGAGTTTTATTTCATCATTATACTTTTAAGTAATATTAATATAATTAATATTATGCTCTTTAGCTTTCTTTTACAAGTATATTTGAGATATATTATATGATAATGATACAATAAGTTTAAATTATATTAATAACTAAATTCTTTCGAAGAAGGTGATTTTAAAACTCAAGGGAGATGATAAATCAATTGGAAATTTATTACAGATTAGAGGGAGATTCTATGAGCGAGTGTTCCCTCTTAATTATGTTAGTAGTGAATCTCAAAATAAATTTAATGAGATTATTTACTTCAATTGCAAAGAAAATAAGGACAAGTAGAAAATAGAACAATAATAAAAAGAAAAAAACCAATTGATGTAATTATTGTTGCAAGTTTTTTCAAATATAAAATTGGTGGTACCCTTTTTTTGACAAAAGATAACATATTTAAGTAGCAATGGATTATATACTTATCTTATTCTAATCACATGTATCCTGGTCTAGATATATTTGTCATGTAAGAGCTCATTTTTTTATGTCATTGAATTTCGAAAGAAAGAATTCTATCCCAGATACATGGGAATATTGTAGTCGGTAAAATGGGATTCACAGAGTTCACAACCGCAATATTCAAATTATCCACGACATTAACAATGTCAATGCAAGTATCCCCATTAACCATCAAACCATTTGCATTCCCATCAGAGTTAATAGGATTAGTATTATTAGAAGTAACAATCATCGAGATAGAGGATTGCTGGGGACGACATTCACCCTTCAAATATTTGATATATTTACAGATAACATAAAAGGGAGGAGTAGTAGAAATAGCTTCCTTGAGATCGGCATCGACAACGGTGGCTAGCGTTGCCGAGAGAGAGCTAGGAGAAAACCCTAAAGGAGCAGGGAGCGAGGAGAGCTGTCCTCTTACCTTCTATGTTGTAATGTTTGAGACTCAAATAAAGAAGCGAAATAATTACATGTTTACCTTCATTTTTTTCTCGTTCTTTCTAACAACCCGAGGCAATAGAAGGGGATTTGATGTTCTTATCTGCAAAAGGCTGATCTTTTGAGCTTGAGCCAACTTGATCAAAGAGGGAGTTCAATTATGCTTGCTCTAACAAGTTAGAAAAGTGTTAGAGGACTACTTATTAGTAGCAAGTGTGCCAAGTGAAATAAAATGAAGAACCTAGGATCCAAAGTATGAAGAGAAGAGTTGGGCCTCGTTTGTGACGGCTTTTTTTCCGTTTCTTAAAGCATATCTCTAGTACAAAATTTTAAAAAAAATTATACTAGAAAGCTGCTTTAAGAAACAAAAAAAAGCCGTCCCAAATAAAGCATTAATAGTAGTAGAAATGAGATCAGTGGCAGGGAATGAATGCACTACTACCGCAATTTAGTAGATGATGCACAAGATTGCCATTGAGAGGGCAAGTGAAAATGTGAAATCTTCATGGGAGAAGGAAACACAATTCTTACAAGATTTCAGCTTTCAATCATATTGGTTTTTCAACTAGGATTTCATGAGTTCATTTAGATTGGTTGAGAAGAAGTCTGGATATTTGAGAAAGGCAAAACATGAAAGCAGACCCAAACTAACTCAGCTTGGAATTGGATATCGTTAAATAACTAAGAGCAAGAGGATTCTCACACAACTTGTAGATAAATAAATATTATTCCAGCAACTGTGAGGGGACATTTGGTGGTTTAATTCATAACGGAATATGAAAAAAAAGTCCTCCTTGGCAGGAACTTTTATTCGGTCAGGACACCTGACGTAGCTCTACATTCGGACGCCAATAAAATATCGCCACGTGCTCTTACTCTTTACCTCGCGGCCCGACGACCTGGCCCGGACCGGAACACGGTATTGCTATGTATTAGCTGATTTGTGCAGACCAGGGTATTGCTCGGTAACGAGAAATACCACTATGTCAAGACCAATACCTAGCAATACCGAGTAATACACCTGTTTTGCTAGGTATTGTTTGGTATTGGTCTTGGCATAGCGGTATTTCTCGTTATTGTCAATCAATACCTAGCAATACAGAGCAATACCTAGCAATACAAGAATATAGCAATACTGGTTTTTGGTCCGAGACGGGTTGTCGGGGCGCGCGGTAAAAAGTAAGAGCACGTGGCGACATTTTATTGGCGTCCGGATGTAGAGCTACGTCAGATGTTCTGACCTAATAAAAGCTCCCTAGGCAAGACGAATGTCCCAGCCCCATTTTTATAAGGGAAATTTACATACATACCACTTTATAGCATCCTATTTACATATCTAATACATATTTTTTTAATATTACATGCATACCACCCTATATTATTTTAATATCAAATATACTACTTATATTTCTTTCATACCACTCATATATTTCATATCTACCACTCATATTTCATATGAAAATGAATTATAAATGATATGTATATAATATTAAAATTTCAAATGTTAAATATGTATATAAAATAATATAAAATGATACGCATGTAAATCACCATTTGGATAGAGTCTTCTAGAGTTCTTTTGTAACATGAGAATAAATGAATAATTACCTCAGCACGTCTGCAACGATGAAGATGCATACACGTGGCGGTCAAATCGACCGCTCAACAGCCACAACCGCCCCACAGTCGTTAAGTCCTAGGCGGAAAAAAAGCTCGTAAGATGCGAAGATCAGTTCCCTTGGATAAAGCTAGTAAAATTTCCGAAGATTAAGCAGCGCGTCTCTTAAATCTTCGCAGTTTGCAGCGAACCTCGCTTCCGTCTTCTCGTTTTTTATTTATTGAAATCTTCAAATCTGTGAGATTTACCGCAGAAGCGAAGATTTTGAAGTCCAGTCGCCCCACGCGGTAGATCTTTGCCTCCAGGTTTCTCTAATCGGGTGCTGACAAGAAATATTTTTTTTTTTACGTAATAAGGTGTGAAGAAATACGATTTTCTTATACGGTTCCGTTCAAGCGATTCTCTGCACGATCTGAGCCAGTTTCTATCTAATTTGGGGCATTACAAGAAGCGTTTTTACCTAAATCTAGGGTTTCGTGGGCGCCGAATCGATGAATTTTGGAACGAGAATGAGAGACAAGATGTGGTTTTCTGTATGGGTTCTGTTTCTGTTTGGATCGTGTTGCGGAAGATTTGTGGTGGAGAAGAATAGCTTGAGGGTGACTTCGCCGGACGCTTTGAAAGGGGTTTATGAATGCGCTATTGGGAATTTCGGCATCCCTCAATATGGAGGGACAATGGTGGGATTTGTGGCTTATCCGAAATCAAATCGGAAAGCATGCAAGAGCTTTGACGAGTTTGATATTTCTTATAAATCCAAGCCTGGAGGGTTTCCTACGTTTCTTCTGGTTGATAGAGGAGGTGATTAATCCAAGCTTTGATTTTGATTATGTTGTTATATATATTCATATTTTCCCTCACTGCATAATGCAAAATATCAAATGAAAAATATTTAATAAATCTTGGGTCGACATCGAACCAAGTTTGGATTGAATGTTTGTCGTCAACTCCCATGGGTTTTGAAGAACTCTCCTCCTGAGAATTAAGCTTGATTATTCAATTAGAAGGCCTAGGGAGATGTGCTCGAGCTCTTCAGGAGGAGAGATTATTACGTGCGGTGTCTGGATCATTCGAAGGCGAATCCGGATGCGCCACATCACCCGGATGCATCGGGCCCCGGGTGACGTGGCTTGTCCGGATTCACCTCTGAATGAATCCAGACGCCGCAGAAGTCACTCCTGACTCATCTGATGGTTGTGGTTGATGACCTTTCCATTGAATAAAATAGGGTTGTACAGGCAAAGGACCTAGAATAACCTCATCTAATAAAATTTGATCAATAACTAGAGTTGGCTACATTTGGCGCTGCTATTGGAGATGTTGAAGCTCCATTTGCAGAGGCACCTGTGGTTAATTTTGGAGGCTCAAATTACTTATATATTTTATTGCATCCTCAATATTAAAAATTGGTTTAATATTAATATTAACAGATAGGGGAGGAGCCAGGATTTTTCCATGTGGGGGCACAAATCTTTGAAGTAAAAAAAAAAAAAACCCTCATCCTTTGTCATCAAAGCTTGGGACCGGTGTTGACGGTTTTAATTTTTTTAAAAATCATTAGATTGTTTATAAAAATATAAAATATATGATAAAGCCAAATACTTACAATTGAGAACAGTAAATCTTGTGATTCTTCTTTTCTATCATCTTTAATTTCTCCTGCGGAGTATTAATTTTTTGAAATCGTTGTATAATTAAGTCATTGTCAATTTATTTGTTTTTAGATTTAGAATTTGTTTAGTTAAATTACACTAGCTGCATCTATATTAATGACATTTCTCTGAATTTTTGGCAATTATGCCCTTCCACCCATCAATGGTGGATCCATGCAAGAATATAGAATTGGTACCATGTGCTAGATGATTGCAAGGGCAAAAAGAATTCTAAAGCACGGATTGATGCTTTGATATTTTTTTGTCAAATTTTCTGGTTTCAATAGCCATGTTTCATTAGTCTATTGTATATTTGGGCAATGAGTTTTTTCATGCATATTCAGCTTCTATAATAAATTGCATATTCATTATCAATGTATTGTTGATTTATGATAGATAAAGAAGATTGTTTTAGCAACTATAAATCTGAAGCGAGGTTGCCTTTTTAAGTCAAGAAATACATTTATGCACTTTTTTTTAAAAAATATGGTTCACCACAGCAGGACACCCCACAAAATATCAAGCTTCATAATCTATATTGCATGATCAAGATGGACAACAAGTAGCCTTAGCACACACAAGGTGCACTTCTAAAGTTTCACTTAATAAAATAGAAGCTGTAAATGAAAATACACTAATAAAAATCATAACTGAAAGAACCATTCTATTATTTTCTAGCTGAAATCTTTTTCTTCATTACTTACAAAAACTTTGTCACAAGTACTTGATCTTGTGTTTTCCAACCAATTCCCATTTTACCCTGTTTTAAATTTGCTGCTTCATTCTTTGTTTTAAATTAATGTCTCATTTGTTTAATCTGTTTCCAAATTTTAAATCCTAGACTTCAAATAAAGGGACCAAAGACAACGGGAGCTCCACCGTATTTTCACATCAGGAAACTGTGTATTTTTGTAATAGTTTAACAAAAAAATTTGTACACTCTAAAAAAACTCAAAGTCATAAAACAGAAATACCTACAGGAATCGGTCGCCGTCTTGTTGGACGCCCTGCCTACTATGAGAGTTAGATCCGGCCTTCACCAGCTTAATGCGGTTTTCGACTGCCTCCTTGTTGGACACCACCGTGAGTCAGGAATCGGTCGCAACTTGGTCACTACTCGCTCAACGCGGAGAAAAGGCAGACTGCCGAGTGCCGACTGCGGACCACAGAGAAATTGGGAGGGAATGGGAGAGCCTCGTGATAAAGGCAACAAAATAAATATAGTTTATTTTATTTATTGTAATTAAAAAATAATTAATACACTTAAAACACTCATTAAATTTTCAGTAGGGGTTCGTGGCCCCAAGACCCTCATAGTGCATGCGCCCCTATCAACAGACAAATCATTCATATATGTATTTGGTCTAAGTTTTCTAAGTATTTTATAAGGTTTTGAGGCTCGAGCATTGAGTTTCTTAAAAGAGTTCTGTGGAAAGCATTCAAAGTGAATACAAAACTAACACATAATTACTTTAGTTTATTCTCAAAATTTCATATGTACATCTGCCATAATTTTATATTTTCTATTTCACAAATCAATTTGTACATTAGCATCAGAATATGAATGCATGGATAAGGGTATGTGATTTATAAGCCTCTTAGGTTGTGATCGATGCATCATCTTAAAGGTTAATTTTTTGTGGTAGTGTTGACAAAGTTATTGTAACTAAATTGCATACTTGTTAATAATAAATCTTAACTTATCCAACGGGTCGTACAATGACACCTTGACGGGAGACACGTACCCTCCTAGAGAAAGTTGTGAATCCAAACATCCACAGGCATGGAAGTCCGGACATGCCTCAATAAACTTGACGTTCTATAGGTCCGTCGGTAGTGCTGAAGAACCATGAGGTAGACATGCAGCACCATCAACCTCACCCTCCTATCGCCATCTGCTGAAGGGACCCTCTAAAATAACTGCTCATCTGGGGGGATGCACTCCTCAAGACGGTGGAAAAAAATTGGTAACCCTGACACTGTTTGAAGGTCTTAAAGGGTAACTGTGAGCTCCTCTGCTCCAATCCAACAAGTACCATTGCTCGAGTCCCATAACTCAACCAAACCACGGGCCCAAGAAGAAGGGAGACGCCCTTAGTCGAATAGCGAGGCATATACAGCCTTGAAAATCCCTACCTCCTTAAGAGTATCCCTATGTAATTATAGAACGTAGTAGGCCTAATGGACGTAGCCACTAGCTGGACTCTGAACCTGTTTGACAACAGAATCTCGAGGCCACTCTAAGGACGTCGATTGTAGCTGATGATGGCTAAGAAGCCTCGACTGTCCGACTGACTCAGTTGTATCTACTGCTTGCTCCAAAACATCACAAATATTCGAACTGAGCTGGGTAATAGTACTCTCCAGCAGTTTGTACTCTGTGGGTTTCTGAAAGGATGCTGCTTGCGAGGGTCAGAATGCAAAGAGTACAATCGCACTATTCCGTAGGACAAAATGATCATAGGCCTTTACATTATACGCAAGCAGGCCAATGGGATCATACATACGATTAACCATAAATGATAGTGACTTTCACGTATACACGCCTCGATGTGTAATAATATATATGACCTAATAATCACAAGATTTTCCCATCCGATACATTAGCTCAAATGAGGTTTATTTGATATGGGTGTCAATTTCCCTTGGGCGCAAGCCTCCGTTGTTAATTACATCTTAGGTCTTGACCTAAGAATACTCTCGATTAAGGACGCTACATTATTCTCTTCAGGGTTTGGCGCATAATGGAATAGCTAGGCTATCATAATCCAAAGGGAGATAGGCTCAATCAGGCTATTCAACATGCACGGATCATACAAGCACTTGGCCGGTCCAGAGAAGAGAAATCAAAAGAGGAGTCATCTCATACCAAACATGCATGGAGAAAAATGGAAGCAGCGTCATCAGTGTGATGCGGATGAGTGGGATTTATAGTCTTCGAATAGTGGAGAACCTACCCAACAATAAGGCATACAACGGTATACCCATACCGTTAGCCTTTAACTCATACAACTGAAATATTCTAAAAATGTTACGCACACTCAAACGATAGTTGCTCGCACAACTAAAATATTCCAAAATTTTCCTCACACATGCACTACAATATGTTTGCATATAAACACAAGGAAATACAAAATGCCTCCCAAACACCCGCATGGGTCCTGATGAACGTATTATGGGTACACACGTGACGTTTAATTATGCTGCGCTGGTCAAGAAATGAACTTACATTCAAGTCTAGTCCTCCTCCTTGATAGGACGGGAGTTGACACGACTTAAACCAATGAACAAGTATACGGTTGCGACGTTGACCGAGATATTTTTTTTTATAATTCATATTAAGCCTTCAAGGCTCATAACAAAAAATTCATTAATAATGGCATAAAGTCAATGACAAACCCGATCCTCTATCGATAAGTTGACAGAATCGACAAGGTTCAATAAAACAAAAGCAAAATTATTCATGTACCTCAATGATAGTTGTGTTGAATGTAGGCCTCAATTGGAGGGGTTAAATTCCAAATGTTCAAAATACAACCCAAATGCTCATGAAAGCTCAAAACTCCAAAAATTCCAAAACTAAAAAATATTTAAAAATCAAAATAAGCCATCAAACGCTTAAAATTAAATCCATCCACCCTCCGCAATAATTTGCTGAGGTGGACAAATTCAAATATTATTTCAGTTCGCAAAGAGCTAACGTCTGTTCGAGAATATCACTATGATTCATTTTCAAACAATCTCTTACCAGTAAGGACGAGACACATGTCCTCTAACCGACAGTTTTGCCGTCAAATGGCACTGCAGGTAAAAGGTTATGACAGGAGCCCTCTGAACCAAGTGGTTTGCCATCAAATGACACCATTAAATTATGGTTATGGCAAGAGCATGTAAGCTCCCCAATGACACTAAATCTTTAAGATATGAATCAATAGGGTATGATCGATAGGGCACAAAACCGTCTATTAGCTAAGGTGGATTCAAATTTGTCCCCTTAGGCAAATATTAATCCCAGGTCTGCAAGGTCCCTTGGACGAAGCAACTCATCAACAACAACAACAAAATGGGATATGATCGATAGGGCACAAAGCCCTCTGTTAACTAAGGTGGATTCCAATTTGTCCCTTTAGACAAACATTCAACGCAGGTCTACTAGGTACCCTTTGATGAAGCAAGCATTAACACAATTTAATGATCCTTATATCAGGTTGGGTCGACTACCTCCTCTGACTAAGTGCACCAAGGACCGCGATAGCCTGAGATGACGAAACCATGGGATCTTGATTGGGTCCATCATCCATCCTCCCACCATCCACTTTAAGTGCGAGATGGTAAAATTTCAAATTTTAAATATCAAGTCTTCATACACCTAAACCAATGTTGCTACTATATGTCGGATACCAAATATCCTCTACATATCTACGAATATGATGTATTTATTTGACGACTAGCCTTAATCGAAAGTTCTCTCTTATTATTGGGAGAGGTAATTAACAATAGGGGCTTGCTCTTAGAGCAAACCATAACTCTGATCATAAAGTCATCGCAAAATGAGGGCGAAATCTCTGGGTAGTGACTTATTTTAAACCCAATATACCTTCTGAAAATTTACCTCGGAACCTAAAGCGTTAAAACTCCCCCGAAAGCAAGGAGGCCGGGTCGCGAATTTTCGAAGCCCACAGAGGCCCAAATTAACCTATATATTGCACAAAGGTGAAGCACGAAATTTACCCATGTACGAGGATACGTACGACAAAAAAGTTTGTCCAAGTTGACACACCTTTAATTTGTCAAATCCTGGTATCACATGCAATCTCTGGAATCCTGCATTGCATATCACGGTGACATGTTGCTCATCCCATCTTCTATCCCATCTCATCTAGTACAAAAAAAGGGGTAATCAAAACCTATCACCCGGAAGAACTCGTACTGCTCTCCTATTTTCTCCACCTCTTGCTCTTACCTTTTTGTTTGAAACCCTCAACTACAAAGAAATGAGGAGGTCACAGAGGGAGCTTGTTGAAGAAGGCATCGATGGGCCAACACCTCTCCTTTTATCTCTCACCCTGCGATCCTGCTCCACATCTCTTCCTCCCAAGTTGCACAAATCCCTCGGCGATGCACGAAACAAGAATTCAAGCTAATTAATGAAGGTGTTGGCGAGACCAATGGCATGTGAAGGAGAAGCTTCAATAGAATCTTACAAGTGAAGCCATCGATGACCAACAACGCATGGAGGAGAAGTGTGGGTGAGGTATGCAGTGACCAAACTCGTTGGATTTCCTATGCTCTGAACCACCCCACCTCACTATTAACCTTTTATCCTTCACAGAAATTGCCAAAGCCATCACGATCATCCACCTACTTAAATTTTCTCCTCGTCTCTAGTACCCAAACACCCATGAACTTATCTTTTGTCAATCATAAGACATCATCAACCTCCCAACCCTCATTGTAATTTTTGAGTATGTCAACTCCCCTCCTTAGACACATCTCTCTCGGGCCCACTCCCTTTGCTGCTAACACTCACCAAGATCTGCACAATATTCTTTTAGTCCTGCTTCATCAACGAATTCCCAACTTCCGCCAACCTCCTCAATCGGCCTATGGCCAACAAACATTGCTAACAACAAACATGCAAACAACCTTCTCAAACATCTGCCTCTCTATCTTGGAAAAAAATTATTGAAGTCTAAATTGAAAAAAGGAAAACAAAATTAAAAAATAAAGCAAAAAATATATTTCATGTATATTTCAATTTGCAAAATTTTCAACATCTTGTCTTCTATGGCATCGCTTCATGTAGGTATAAAATGAAAAACCCCAAAACTCTAAAATTCTTATTGTGATGTGTTTGATGCTACAAGCAAAACGGTCTTGTTTGTTTTTTTTTAAGACTTCATAGGTGAAACTAGTAGGTAACTCTTAAGACGCAATGGCCTTGTGCGCATTATTTCAACGTGACGGGGAAATATTCCAAATTTCAAATAGATAGACAAAAACCCATACATGCTTTCTTGGCATAGTGGGATAGAGGACCATTGGTTGCGATATCTTAGGATATCGATAACTCGCATCTTTTTTGGTGTGGTGGGCAAGCTCGAACTCCTTATAAATGCTCCACATGTGTGACAGATGTAGAGACAATATTGTAATTTATACTGAACACACCCATAATGGGCTATTGAAGGGACCCCTTCTTGAAAAAAAATGAAACTGAAAATGCTAAATACAAACTTACAATGTGCACGATATGAGCACTTCAAATGCGACACACATTTTCATTAGGCAAGATTTGAACAAAAACTAGACTTACAGTGGATTTGCAATGAACACAATAGTTAACCTATGTGCAAAAGTAGAACCGTACTACACTCTTAGAACACATAAAGCATCTCACACTAGAGGCTAAATGAACTTGAATGGTGAAAAATGAACAACAACTCATCTCTTATTTATAAGAGGGAGAAGTGATTCTCCATGATGTCCATGATATTAAATTACAACCACATAAAGACAAAAAAATTATGTGTCTTGATGTATCTAAAAGATTCTAATTCACCTCATACAACAATGGATCTAAAACACATGCATAAAAGTGGACAGAAAATTATTTTTAAAAACTCAAAATGAAAATTTGCATGCATCCTAATGACCAAAAATTTATGCAAATAAAAAAATTGATGTATTTTTAAGTTATGCACACACATCTCTGTGTAACTTGCAAATTTAATTGCAATGTCTTGAAAAGTGTGCAAATGCATTATACAAATTCATTAAAAAAACATGCAAGTGCCATGTACAAACATACTGAGAAGCATATAAATGCACGAAAAAAAGTACGCAAATGTATTGAAAAATGTAAAATGTATCGATAAGCATGCAAGTGCTTCGTGCTAAATACACATAAAAATGTGCAAGTCCATTGTATGAATAATGTGCAAGTGCATAAAAAATTTTATTGCTTAAAGTTTTTGCAGGTTGAATTTCTTTGAATTTATTTGATCATTATATTATGGATTGGCTTCTCATTCTCCTGATTCTCATATTTTCTTATTTACTCCTAAAGAAAGTAAGTTTTTGCATATTTAGTTTTTTAATCTATGATTCCTAATTTCTTTTGTGCGATATATATTTATTGCATTTAGCTACAGTAGAAAACCTAAATTCTAAGCTGCCTTGCATCACTTTGACTTAAATTCTCTAAAATTTTCAACGACATTAATTTTGTGATCTCGTTTTTGTGATGCTTTGTTGTGAACAGATTGCTATTTTACAACAAAAGCTTGGAATTCACAGAAAGCAGGAGCTGCTGCAATCATTGTTGTTGATGACAAAGAGGAACCTTTGATCACAATGGACATGCCTGAAGAAGATAGTGGTCGGGGTGATTATTTACCAAATATATCAATACCATCTGCACTTATAAACCAAAGCTTTGGGGATAGACTTAAGAAATCACTAGAGAATGGCGACATGGTTAACGTCAATTTGGACTGGAGGGAATCTTTACCTCATCCTGATGACCGTGTGGAGTATGAGTTTTGGACAAACAGCAATGATGAATGTGGACCTAAATGTGATGGCCAAATAGATTTTGTTAAGGCTTTTAAAGGTGTTGCACAAATACTGGAGAAAAAGGGTTACGCTCAGTTCACGCCTCATTATATTACTTGGTATTGCCCTGAAGTTTTTACTTTAAGCAAGCAGTGCAAATCACAATGCATCAACCATGGAAGATACTGTGCTCCTGATCCTGAACAAGACTTCAGTATAGGATATGATGGGAGGGATGTTGTGATCCAAAATCTTCGACAGGTCTGCTTGTTTAAGGTTGCCAATGAAAGTGGAAAGCCTTGGTTGTGGTGGGATTATGTGTCTGACTTCTCCATTAGGTGTCCAATGAAGGATAAGAAATACACCAAGGAATGTGCTGAAGACGTGATCAAATCACTGGGTATGTTTTCTAAGTTATTTTAACACTCTCCGGTGCTGCGTGGTCGGAATCCTTCGTAATTAATGTGGACAGGGCAATGTTTGTGCTCAAGCTGGTGACTACTTTTTCCTGCAGGTGTTGATCTGAAGATGATAAATGATTGTATTGGAGATCCTGAGGCTGATGAAGACAATCCTATACTAAAGGCTGAACAAGATGCTCAGGTTAGGAAAATTTTGTGAATTTCTAGGAGTCCAAATGATGAAGACAATCCTGTACTAAAGCTTTGTTGACACCTTTATTTGATATTCACTACATGTTATCGTATCCTAATTACTTTTTATTTTATCCAATACTCTTCAACTTTATTGCTTTCAGATTGGCAAAGACTCCCGTGGGGATGTTACTATCCTGCCCACACTACTGATTAACAACAGACAGTACAGAGGTGTGTTATTTCATTTCCTGTGCATGTATTGTGTTCACATTGAAGGTTGTGGAAAATCATCATCCTCAGAATTGTTAACATAATCATAAAATGCTGTTTTCATGATCATTATTATTAAGGTAATCATAATTTTTCTGTTTTTTCTTACAGGGAAGTTGGACAAGAGTGCAGTGCTTAAAGCAATCTGTGCAGGATTTCTTGAGAAAACAGAGCCAGCCGTGTGTCTTACTGAAGGTTCGTGTGAATTTTGTAGAATTTCAAGTTACCCATTTTCCATTAAAGGACATGAGGACCTTTTCTAAATTATTTTATATTTTAAATAATTTATTTTTATTTATGGCATATGTCTTCATCATTTTTCCAATTTATTTATAGACATCCAGACAAATGAATGTTTGGAAAACAATGGTGGGTGTTGGCGAGACCAGGCTGCCAATGTTACTGCTTGCAAGGTATCAGCAGAATTTTTTTAGTTTGAGAAGTCGAAGCAGAATTAAATACCTATATATGTCATTGAACTTTCACATTACAGGATACGTTCCGTGGAAGATTATGTGAATGCCCAATTGTAAATGGTGTTAAGTTTGTCGGCGATGGGTATACTCATTGTGAAGGTACTTTATTAATAATAACTTATTGACAATAATAGAATATTCTACGATACATAGCATTGAATTTTATCTTTGCGTGGAAGAATTAATGTTACCCAAATGCGGTTCTCATGAAAAAGAATGGAAGCTTGTAGGTCTTTGTTATTGAAGTGAAGATTTTCTGTGTTCTATATTCTTGGAAGAGGGAGTTTAGTTCTTGAATGAGAAATGCACCGTATCCAAATTCCCATCATTTGCTAACATTTCTTTTATGAAAAGGATAATCAAATATCATTTAGATTCTCATGACAACATGAGATTATGCGAATGCTGTAAGAGTTGTTAGAATAATTCAAACTCATTATAATATTGAGAAACTTGGGCAGCATCATCTATTTGTTAAAGTGTAATCATTAGGTACAATTCAATCCACCAAGAGGCTAACTTTGAAGGAATCAATGAGGATTTGAGTTTTTTGTCATGGCTTCCATGAGGTTTGAGGAAGGGCTCATTTGGGATCACTGTAATTATCTATAAATTAGTTATTGAATTATTATAGGGTAAGTAGAGTTTTTGAAAGCATCTGTCTTATAGAATTTTTTTTATTCACTCCAGAAAAATGTTGGACAATAGCTTCCTTAAGCTTTTACACTCAAAGTTGTTGCCAAGTAGATGAATGACAATGATCTATAAAGTAAAACATGTGAAAAACTTGTCCCAAATGCACCCAAGTCTAGGAGGAATCTTGTGGTGTGGTGTCAATCTTGGCTTTTTAACGTTTCTTTTTTTTTTTAAAGCTTTTTAGATGAGGAATTGACTGTTTCCATTTAAGATATAAACTAATAAAGTCCTCAAAGTCTTGAAGGACTCTATAAGAACTCTATGAGAAGATGATCCTTAGAATTCTTGGCGAGTAGCAGTTAATAGTAGATATTTTAGTTTGATGCTCTCTAAACAGTTAAGCAAGAGATCAAAAAGAGGTTTTCCATATTCATTTGGTCTCAATGTGTTTTCTCAGCTTGCTACAATAGATCTATAGGGTACTGGGCCTCTCTAATTGCATCTTCTTGTGCTTCTAGGTGTTTATGCATACATAAATTGTACTTTTAGTTTATTATTAACAATCTTGTTTTGATCTTTACCTATAAGTGATGTGAAACATACATGCATGGATGAATTGCTTTAAGGAATTTGCGCACGTAATATTCCTGGAACAAAGAATTATATCTTAATGTTGGATTTAACGACACAATAAAACACTAAGAGCGGTAAGACGAGCTTAGGACGAATCACGTGCATAAAAGTTAAAATCAGAAAACAGTCAATTTAATCTAACGTTGCATACATGGATGGTTTTAACAATAAATCCCTATGCTAACAATAAGATTAGTCACTACAAGAGATCCCTCACTCAACTCTTCTAATTACTAGGCTTTAGCGGGAAGCATTAATGTGATCGTCATGAATCTATTAAGACCACAATTGAGAAGCGACATCGAAGATAAAAGAGTCGGGTGAAGAGTTTACCGAAAGACAAGAGAGATGCGAGCTCCGGGTAAGTCGTTGGAAGGTTGAAATGAAAGGGGACAGCAGTTCGGTTGGAAAGACAGCATCAGAGAGGTTCAGGATCCTCTGGACAGCAATCTTGGCACGTTGGAAAGTTCTGGACAGCCACCCCGCAGTTTCCAGAAAATCTGGACAGCAAATAGAGGCCTTCCGGATGGCGACACAGCATTAGGAACCTGCTGGAACCTTTGGGCAGCAGCTGTGGGGCTTCAGGACAGCAAACCGGAGGTTCTAGGAGAGAAGGACAGCAGCTCGTCTACATGAAATTGAGAAAAGGGACTAATAAATCCAATTTGATTTATTTTGAAATTGAGTTCATGAATGATACTTTCCTAATTTAGGATTCCCTATATGGAAAGAATTTGAAATTCGAATTTGAATTTCAAATGAATTCAAATTTTCCCTCTCATGCTTGAGCTAAATTAGGAAGTCATTATGGTGATTGAAATCATCATAATGAGGGGAAATTATGATGGTGGCCGGCGGCAAAGGGGGAAGGGGGGCGGCTAGATGGCGGGTTGAGACTAGGTAGGTGGGTGGGATTTAGGTGGTGGAGCTAGAAGATGAATTGGGTGGAGGAGGTTGAGCCACCGGTGGTGGGGAAGTTGGAAGGGGTGGAGTGAGTGGGGAAGAAAGGAGATGACAACAAAATAAGGTAAAAGTAAGCTAACGAACTCACAAAGAGATCGTAAAACCGCGAACCTTGGACTCTTCCAAAGGTTGACGGGTATTGCGATTGCCCACACCTTGGGTCTCTCCTCCCATGAACTCACTTAGAGATCAAGCAAAGAAAAATAAGATTTCATTTCAATATTCATCATCCCCTCTCCAAGAGGAGGGAGAAGGCTTAAATAGCCAAATATATGAAGGAAAATAAAAGACACAATTGCCCCTAGGGCAAAAAGACAAAGCCCTCAAGTGAGGGTAGAAAGGGAAAAGTACAATAACAAATCAAATACATAAAATATAAAATAAATAGACACGATCGTAGCCGTTGATCTTCGATGTCCTCATCAATAAGATTCAGTTCATTACTTTGAAAACTTTATTTACAGAGCAATGGAGAGACTCTGTGGTGTATCCATTGGTTCAGTCACCTTATTCTTGTAGTTTCTTTTTTAATTTTCTGAAAAATATCTGGTCACCTTATTTTTTGTAAATTTTTAATGTGTGGCATTGCTCCTTTTTCTTCTACAGCTTCTGGATCTGGACGGTGTGAAATTAATAATGGAGGGTGTTGGAAAGAAAGTCGGGATAGCATGTCATTTTCTGCCTGTTCTGTAAGTATGGATTAGTCATTTAATGTTTTCAACGAACTGCTATTTGTGTGTCCAGCCTAAGCGCTTACAATGCATTGAACAGGACACTGAAGCCAATGGATGTAAGTGCCCCCCAGGCTTCAAGGGTGATGGAGTTCACGCGTGTGAAGGTATTGTTTTGTCTTATATGCAAACCATTTTATCATCCTTTGCTAATGTAGGATACTTTGACAGCACAAAAGTTGACATAAAGCTATCTTGGCGACTTTCAAACTAACTTTCTTTTGTCAAATAAACCTATTTGATATTTTTATGCCTTACTTTTGCTGTTCTTTGAGATTGCTCTGTGAAGCTATTAGTAAAATTACCAACAATGCCTTCGCTTTTGATTCAGGTGCTGTTTGTTTTGACGTATTAGGAGTGTAAACTAAAAATATATATAAACATAAACAATATCAACATCAAGCCTTTGTCCCACTATGTGGGGTTGACTACATAAATCCTTTTTCTCCATTATGTCCTGTTAAAAGTCAAATTCTCGTTTAAATCTAATAAAAAAAATATTATTTCTAATATTTTCTAACCAAGTCTTTTTAGGTCTATCTGTACCTTTCTTGACATAAGTCAAATCTAATACCTCTACTTTCCTAATCGGGTCATCAGAAGGGTGCCGTTTTATGTGACTAATATATATATGGGGTATTAAAGTTTTAGGTGTTTGTTTCAAAGGAAAACGAGTGCAAAATAGTTTTTTGAGGAACTTGGAATACCTCCAATAGGTTATTTTTCCAATTTGGGCAGATTCAGAATAAGCCGCATCAAGAAGAAACTAGTCTCAATCAACAAGGTTAAATAAGCTTTAACTTATTATATTTCTGTTGTAGATGTGAATGAATGCAAAGAGAAGATTGCTTGCCAATGCCGAGACTGCAAATGTAAAAACACTTGGGGAAGCTACGAATGCAGCTGCCGTGGTGATCTTCTATATATGGAAAAGCACGATACTTGTATAAGTGAGTATAAATTGTTTGGCTGCACCACCTTCTTTGATTCATGGATTATATAAAAGTGAAACCATTCTATATGTATTTTAGAGAGTTCTTAAGCTCCTTAAACTTACCTGCACCCATGTCTGGACAATCTATTCTATTTTCCTACCTCATTTTTTCGCACTGTAAGTAGTTATATTTTTACTTTGCAAAATGATTTGCAGGTAAGAACGCATCAAAAGAGATTAGCTGGAGCTTCTTGTGGGTTATTTTTCTTGGCTTGGCTGCTGCTGGAATTGGAGGATATGCAGTCTATAAGTACAGGATCAGGGTAAGCTTTGTTAAGGCAGTAGTAAAATTTTATTTTCTTTTACATTATATCCTCTTTTTTTTTTTTCTTAATATGCACATACTTCCCAAGCAAAGTGGTGTTCCTATTTTTAATTTTTGTTTGACACTTTATATGAGACAGCTTTCTCATTATTTTATAAGACAACTTTTGTAGAAAAGCAAAAAAATTTTGTACTAAAAAATTATTTTTTAAAAATAATAAGAAAGCTGTCTCAAATGGAACCTTAGAGTTCAACTCTTGCCTCTCTCTCATTAGTCATTACACTATTTGTTATCGACTATTTAGATGTAGGGTTTTACTTAGAACAAGTAACCCATGCATTGGAGAGAAAAAAAAATTGTAGTCCATCCTTAAGCGGCAAGAGTTGGAGGATATGACACATCCTGATTCGTCTTCGAACCGTCCAATTGCTGTACAAAATAATTTCTCTAGCCCACCCTTAAACTATTACTTAATGATATTATTATATCATGAGGATTTGAAAATCATTTAGTTTATTTTAAGATTAATATTTTTTTTTCTAAGTTATTTTCTCACTATTTTTTATTCCTCGATGCTGATATAGAGTTATATGGACTCCGAGATTCGGGCAATAATGGCACAATACATGCCATTGGACAATCAAGGAGAAGCACCAACCAATCATATCCACCATCCTGATATTTGAATGATAGATACATAAAGAGAGATAGAGAGAGAAAAACTTCATTGGATATTAATGTAATGTACCTTTACCACGTGTAAAGTTTATTTATAATGATAATGTATATTTTGAAATAGGTTAATCTTTGTTGGGTTTAATGTTAATTAAATGGTAATGTGCAGTAATAGAATAATGATGGATTATCTGAGGTTATGATATAATGGAAGTTTTTTTAATAGTCATTTGTTCATTGATTGCAGCTTCATTGCTGATTTGGATTTAAATATTTGTGATTTATTCCTTAAGCTTTGCTTGAAACGGTTTTATTATTGCTTCTTTAAAAAAAAAATTGTATTAAAAAGTTGTTTTAGAAAATAATAAAAAAATTAGCTCAAACGAAATCTTAAGCTTTGTTTGGAACGGCTTTCTTACTGCTTAAATTTCTTTGCTGATTCTATGAGAATTGGCAAGCTTACATCATCTTGTACAACAAAACAAATCAAGAAGGCCATTCCAATGCCCAAAAAGCTTGAGGTCATCTGAAGCAAAAGACCTCTGCTCATGCTCTGCTCATGCTCTGCTCATGTATTGTCCTGTTCTAGTGTCTATCATTATCTCCTCACCTCTTTCCACAAACAATGGAACATTTACCACAGCACCAGTTTCAAGTGTAGCTGGCTTGGATCCTCCTACAATGTCAAACATATCCATTTAAGTTTAGACAAGTAGGTAATAGTATGATTTAGAGTAAAGTTTTGTTTGGGACGATTTTTTTATTGTTTCTTAAAACAGTTTTTTAGTTGTACAACTAAAAAGTTGTTTTAAGAAGTAATAATTAAAATAAAGCCTAAATTTGATATGAGAAATATTCAATAAAACTGTAAAGAAACCAATCATGAGAAGAATCCAAGGAAAGAATGGCATAATCTACAACTGGAACACTAGCAAGAGATTCAAAGTAACTCTAATCTGTAGAGCTAAGTTCTATGCTAAGGTTTTATTTGGTTTCAAAGATTGTGAGGCTCCTATATTACATCATTTGTTTGGATGTTGTAAGAAAATAATATGTATTTTGAACTACAGAGACCTTTGAAATCTCTCACAGATGATTATTTTCTTTCAGACAAAATGAGTGAAAACTAAATTATCAGTTCCGGAAACATATTTTTGATCTATAAGCAACCTACAACCAAATGATCCAAGTGTCAAATCATATCCATTACCTTGTGCAGTGTCTCCTCTTAAACCTGGATCGACATCAGTTACTGTTAGCTTAACAGTGATGGGAAGTTCAAAATCAATAACCTGACAATAAAGATACTTAAATCAGTACGTTACTTTTTAAGAGTGAATATTCATGCTTAATCAATTACACAGGTACAGACATTTGTGTCCAAAATCAGTCAAGCAAATGTAGTACACGTGGCATGCATCAATATCAATGGTCCATGGATGTGTATGGTAGTTTTAGGAGGGTGCAAATTTGGAGCCCAAGTTGAGCCCAAAATACTTATGGAAGGACCCACTAACCCAAAAGCAAAAACTAATAGACAAGGGCCACTACGAGTACACTAAGGCTTCGTTTGGGACGACTTTTTTATTGCTTCTTGAAGCAGCTTTTTAGTATAAAAATTATAATTAGTGTACTAAGAAGCTGCTTTTAAGAAGCAATAAGAAAGCCGTCACATACAAAGCCTAAGACCCAACTCAGATGATTTTCTACTCTCATTGTATCTCAACAATCTCCATCACATTAAATTCATTCAAATCTAGATCTTCATCCCCACCCTCCCTCTTCACTATCATCAAATCTCACCCACTCAATAAACATATGCTCAACCAAAAACCACATGAATCCTGCATGGGAATCACTTCTTTTTTTTTAATCAGGAAAGAAAATATCAAGACCAATGATACTGCACTGGACACTTAAATCAGCTCCAATACTTCTTAATTGTTAGTGGACAGAACAAAGGGTACTAAATTTAAGCCTAATATACCAATGGATATATACCATCAGCCCATGTAATTATGGGCACAGGTAAGAGCCATCAAACAAAACTTTGGAAATCGACACTTCTTTCACTTTTGATTTGAGACTATTCTTCACTTGTATGTGCATATTGAGGGTAGCAAGCATTGAAATAAAGAGGTTTATATCATAGATGGCATAATAAAGTAATCTCCAATTGTAACCTACTAGAAACCTATGAAGCTACAAGCCTAATAGTTTGGAAAATAACAGAAATACCCGTCCATTCCAAAATAGCAAATTGCATGCCGTTCCTTCTTTCAACCACTTCATTTTATCACCTACTTCTGCATCACTCAATCGGGTTTCTTCATAAGTAGCCTAAAAAACAAACATAATAAGTTAATAAGTTCTTTTAAACAGTAATTTAATTGAAAGATGAACTGTCATTATTCTATACCAACAACAATAACAACAACATCAAGCCTTTATCCCACTACGTGGGGTCGGCTACATATATCATTTTTCTTCATTGTGTCCTATTAAAGGTCAAATTCTCGTTTAAATCTAATAAAGAAAGGTTAAGCCCGGTGCATTCCTCCACTTCAACCATCCAACTTGAATTTTGCTAATAATATCCCCATCTATTTCACCATCACTCTGAACAATAGATCCAAGACATTTAAAACGTGTACTCTTATTAATGACTTGATCGCCCAAAGTCACAATCCCCTCACTAGGTCTATTACTACTAAAATTACACTCCATATATTCCGTTTTAGATCTACTCAAGCGAAAACATTTAGTCTCTAATGTTAACCTCCATAAAAAATATCATTATTCTATACCAGTTGTACCAAAAAAAATTTTGTAACTATGTGAAACAGAGAAAGGCAGCTGAAAAAAGATGAATCCTATGCAGGAGGAGAATCGGAAAATTAGAGAGAAGTGGAAAGGACTCCGAGTAATCTAGGACAACTCAACAGCCGACAAAAATTGCTATTGAACTCCCATAATTCTAATCTTCATATTCTGAACCTGAAAAATTTCAGAGCTTCTTAAAATTCACTTGGAAGATCAGGTTCTAACATTCTCCAAGTCTGCTTATAGCATGAGAAGATGACAAATAGCTTTAAAACCATTCCAACGTTATAAGCACCTTCTCATGAAGAATTGTATTATGAATATGCTTGAAAGCTGAGAGAGGCAAAACAATACCAGATCCATGAATATATAATTGGAGCCATCTTTGTATGTATATTGCTTGGTTTCCTTTACCACATTTGCTTCTTGAAGCTGAAAGCATCAAGGCAAGAATCACATTATGAATGAAACATATAGCATCCTAAAGTCAGCAGAGAGGATGGGCAAAACATTTTAAAAGTTAAAACCTCTACAAAAAAGAGAGTAAAAGTGGAAAAGAGAAATTTATTTCCCGCAACATATTTGCTATTAAATTTTCACGCTTCAGAAGTTACTTGAAGCATCAAAAGCCCATATAAAATAAATAAATAAAAATGCTACCAATGCATCTTAAGTTAAACCATTTAATAGCAGAGTAAAACAGAGAAGCATACATAGGCAAATGAAATGAGTAGGAAAATAAAATGTTACCGTGCTTCCAGCTCGAAAGGTCTTCTCAACTGTGTTGCCCGTTATGTAGTTCCGTACTTTTGTCCTCACAAAAGCAGCCCCTTTTCCAGGTTTGACATGAAGAAATTCTACAAAAAACCAACATGGTAATGAGGTTGGAAGTTCAATAAAAATTGTGAATCTAACACAGCATACAATTAAGTTAATAGTTTGATTAGTCAACTAAATATATCAGTTGGTCGGAGAGATGCTTCACAATCATGATCAATCTAAGCAACAGCAACATGTGTTGACCTCTGTTTCAGCTTTGTGCTTTCAAATTCGTTCGTGCCTAGTTTAGCCCAATTAACGTTATTAGTTGTTCCCTCTAAGATTAGCCAAGAGCCTACTAGACATGCTGAAGGCCGCTTCTTGCCATAAAAAAACACAAAACGACCCTCAAGAGCATCTCCATAATCCCACATTCTCTACCCTTAAGTGACCGTGAGAGAAGTCTCATGTGGTCACATAAAACCACTTATATGATCACGATAAACCCCTCTCGTGAACATGTCAAGTCTTTTAAACTCAAATTTTAAAAAATGACAAATTATACATCATGGGCTATTTTGAAAACACGCTTTGTCCCACATTGTGAGATAACACTTAATCCCACTTGCATGGTTGTAGAGGGGGAGGGTAGAGATTATTAAGCTTCATATATACTTGAAGACTGACAAATTGATGCAATAATTTTTTCATTGTGTGCCTTCTAGAAAAATAGTGCTCTTAAATTAATAATTATTATTTTGTATGCTTTTTTCATGATTTTATCTATCGTAGACGCTGATAAATAAAAGGTTGCATTGAGCTCCAAATCATACACATATTTCATAGCATTGTAGGATGGCTCAAAACTCTTCTTACTGAGCCCCTTGTGGGGGTGATGTGGAACCGCGGCCAAAAAATCCACCAATAAGACAAGCGTTCTGATAGAAAATAGATGCACTTTTTACAAAATCAACAAAAGAAATACGAGAAATTGGGGAGAAGAATGCCTAAAAAATATTTTTATTGGAAGAACTATGAAGAGAAAAGCAAGATACAGTTGGATCTTCAATTGGAGAAGAAACTCTAACTCTCCCAAATCCCTAGCCACTAGCTAGAGCCCAATCAACCTAAGAATAAACTAAAATACTAAATTCAGCAAACAAGTCATAACCCTAACCCTAGGAAAATTGCCTATTTAAAGCATACAATAATCATGTAAATCCCAAAACAGCCCCTCTTTTGAATTTTTCCTCCTAATCCCCACTTAATTTCCTCTCTAATTAGCAGTTGAACTTGAACCCGATATGTAGCGAGGCCAAGAGTCCTGGGAGGAACTTTTGTTCTGCCTCTTATACACAAGAGTCGGTCCAGGAGGGACCGTTCGAACACATTCGTCCCATAATACAAGTGCCCCACCAAATAACTGCTAAAACAAACACTTGAAGAGCCAAATTTAGGCACACACTAACATGTAAACGAGTAAAAATGAACCTAAAAGTAATTATAGAACCTGTAACAATACAAAGTGGAACAAAACAAAACACTTCAAAAGTCAACTTAGGCAGACTAGTTTCATTCACAAGGAACAAAAATTGGACCCAAGTCTAGTTGCAAATAAGGTTAAGTAAACCTTCCCACAACCTCCTCCCCACAAAAAAAATTGGATTAAAAAAATATTAAAATACACTAAGACTCTCATTAAAAGTTCCATAAAAAGTTTATTACTCTAAGCTTACTAAAATTGTGATCATCTTCTACAACTTCCATTAAAAGTTCTCAAGATTGGTACCACATAAAAATGACAATTCACAATAGGAAATTCCATTTGAGTAATAAGATATCCTTTGAGGATGACCTTCCAAGCATGCAAAAACTAAGATATTATTAGTTTATTTGCATAACTGAGGTCAGGAGAACGGCAGAACGAATCTAAAAAAGCATGAGGATTTTCAAAGAGGCCGAATCTCCCTCCAGTGGCACAATGTTTGATATATACCATTGCATCTCCTGGCAAATTTATTTATAATACTACATACAAGATACAAGCGTTTTCAAAAGATAGTTTAACACAAACAGTAACAAAGTAAAAGGGTCCGGATACAATGGGCAGAAGCTTTTCGCAAGGAGTTAAAAGTAGCAAGGATCAATCTTCTCATAGACCACTCTTCAACTAATAGCGTAAACAAGCCAGTTCAAAGTAATCCGCAACAAATTCCATCATTGAGATCTTCTCATCGCAAAAAGCAATGGTTTACAATTTCACAGCAAAAGCACGAACTTTACATGAAAAAAAAAAAGAATTCTCTAATTCAGTTACTATCTAAAAAACAGGGTAGCGTTCTCAGAACATACAAAAACATGATGTGAAATCGAATAAAATTATTAAAAAAAAAAAAACATGTATAAATGGGAATCAAATCTTGAATTTAAAGCATCGATCATACCTAAAACCCTCCAAGGAGCCCCATCCACTTCTATACTGCTGCCAACCCTAATGTCATTACTCGAGAAGGCATATATTCCTGAACCCGAAACAAAACCGATTAGCAAAAAGACTTAAACCCTACCTAGATTGAAAGCGGTGCGCGGAACTCACTAGGAAACCTAGAACGCAAGGGCATTCCCGGAAGAACCCGAAAGCTTGCCCGGGAATTAGACGGGACTGAATGTGAGAGCAGAGAAGAGCAGAGGAGGCGAGAGTTCGAAGAGAGATGGGCGGAAAGGATTCCCGCCATCTTCAGATGGTTCTTCTCGCTCTCGCCAGTGCGGCCGTCAAGATAAGTGATAAGCGGTTGCCTGTTTCACCTAGCTCAAACTAGCATTTAATACTTCAAAACATTTTGTTTCAATATATATATATATATATATATATATATATATATATATCTTAAAATTTTTACATTTATATATTTCTCATTTAATTTTACTATCTATATATAAATAATCTAAAATCCTAAAATAAAATTAAAATATATATATATATATATATATTACTCATTTTTAGAGACTTTTGAGATAGTTAAATGCAAACTCAAACACAAGTTCCGAATTAGGGGTGGCAATATTGGACACCAACTGAAAATCTGACCCGAACCCGACTTGAAAATTTCGGGTTCGGCCAACCCGAACTGGGTCGGGTTCTAGTTAGGGATTTCATCCAGTTTGTAAAACCAGCTCAGGTTCGGGTTGACCCTGAAACCCGGAAACAACCCTGGTGACCCAGGAAATGATGTATGTCAGTCGTCACGCGTCCACCGATCGCGTCCGTCGTTCAGTCTGTTCGCAGTTGCTGCCTCGCCGTCCAGTCCGCTCGCTGTTCATTTGTCGGTTGTGTCGCTAAAAACGACAACGCGATTCACCGAGATTCAATGCAATCGCCGCCTGAAGCCAACGCGATTCAACGCCGCCGTCCCGTTGTCTCGCCGCCGACCTCTCTTCCTTGTCGCCTCTTCCTTGCCGTCGTCCCGCTATCCCGCTGTCGATGTCCAAACTCTAGCCTTAGCCTTAACCCGAACCCACCGCCGTTAGTCGCGTCCGCTTGTAGCAAACGCCGCTAAGTAGCAGTTACAGGTCAATTCTGAAACCCTAAGCGGGTCGAGTTCGGGTTAATCTGAATAGTGCCCGCTTCGGGTTCGGGTCCAAAAATCTAACCCGTTTTAAAAAATGAGTATGATTCGGGTTGACTTAAATAGTGCAGGGTCAGTTCCGGGTTGAACTCGAACCCGACCCGTAACCCAATTTTGAGAAGCAGTAGGACATGATCAATTGTACCTTGGAGGTAACAGAGAGTGCGTTTAAGCAGTTGAAAATGACAAAATAAGAGTTGATGTATATGTTGACACAATCAATTGATAACAAAGGCCATATCGGGTCGTGTAGTGGTGAGGTATTGAAGATAACCTGTTAACTATTGGAACAATTCAGGTTGGTTGAACGAAAGTTTTAAGGTTGGACCAGTTGTCCAATTTGAAGTTTTAAGGGGGTAGAGAGAAGTTTACATGAAGTCATAGCAGCAATTTTTAGAATTTCTTGAATGTAGCTTTGCTGTGACAGAAGATAACTAGTGGTAGTTCTAGAAATGTCAATGCCAAAGTAACCAAGAGAGTAAGCTAAGATTGCGAATCTGAAATTTGAGCTGAAGGTTGTGATTGAAATAGAAATGAATGTGGATTCATTTCCAATGACAAGGATGTCATCCACATAGATTAGCAAATAAACAATTATATTAGTTTCCTACAATATGAGAAAGGAAGAATCTTTTGAACTCGTATGGAATCCTTCAGTAAAGAGATAAAGAGGATAAGATAGCAAACCATTGTCTTGTTGAAGATCATAAATGACTTTATATAACTGACAAACATGATTTGGATGTTGAGTATCTTAAAAATCTGGAGGTTGATCCATGTAGATCATTTCAATGAGTTTATCATGAAGAAATGCATTGATCTCATCTAGTTGGAGAATGGACCAATCATGATGTAGAGCAATGGTGAGCAGCATCCGAATGGTGAGAAATTTTGCAACGAGACTAAAGGTCTCATGACACTCAATTCCATATTCATGTTTAAAATCTTGAGCCACAAGATGAGCTTTATGTCGAACAATTGAACCATCAGCATGTTTAAGTTTGTAGATCCACTTGTAGCCAATAATTTGCTAATTAGCGGATGGAGGTACTAAGAACCAAGTATCTTAGGCTTAAAGAGATCTAAATTAAGAAGGCATGGCATGTCGCCATTCAGGGAGCTTGACAAGAGATGTATTACATGTTGGGGTTGTTTGAACTATGCTGGAGATCCAAAATGTTGTGAGGTTTTAAAGAGCCAGTTTGGAGAGGTGTAATCATGGGGTGATGAAAGGTAGGTTTGGTGGAGAAGAGGTGGAGGACAATGAAATTGTTGGTGAAGTAGAAGAAGAAGTTGGAGCAATGGATGGAGAACGCGAAGTTTGTTTGATTGGGTTGGTTGGAGTATTATGTATAGAATTTTGAGCTGGTGATGGGATAGTAGAAGGGAATGTAGGTAATGTTGTTGGAGATACTGTTGTAGGAGTTAAAGTAGTGGTATCTGGAATTGAAGTAAAAATAGTCTCATCATCGATTAACAAGATATAATAATGATAACCATCGTGTGAAACAATTGGGGAATGACCCAAATATCTACATGTATTAATTCAAGAGGAGCATAGGATACATGTTGTGACTCAGAAAATGGTAGCTTATGACTCTTAACTACAACACACAAGTTACAAAGAAGGAGAAGAAGAAATGCCTAAGTGATAGAGCAGCAATAGTATTGAAACTCGGGTGTTCCAATCTTCTATGCCAAAGGTGAGCGGAAGTCGAAGCAGTAATGGAAGTAGTCGCAGCAACTATGTGGGAGGAAGGTGTTGAGGTAGTGATCAGCTACAAACCATTATGGCATGGACCTTGGAGAAGTATGTGATTGATCTTCTGATCCTTGACAGTAAAACCATTTTTGCCAAACAAAACGGTGCAGTTATTGTCATTGCTTAATTGAGAAATGGATAGAAGTTTGTGTGAGATGTGGTACATTAAGGGGTGGTTAAGAAAGAGCTTATCGGATGTAGTTAGAAGTAAACATTTTTCGGAATAAAGGATGGGAAGAGTATTACCATTTTCAACAAGGACTTGATATGTACCAAAGTATGCAGTAGAATGTTGAAGAGAAAGTGAATCCGGAATGAGATGAGCAGTGGCATCGTTATCCTAGTACCAAGGAGAAGTGGTTGAATCAGCGACCAAAGACACATTTGAAGTTATGGAGGGTGGCGAATACTAGAGATTAGTTCGATGCCAATAGGAAATATCAGAGTGACCACGTTTGTCGCAAATTTGACAGTCACCTGTGAAACGAGGTTGACGAAGGCTAGAAGAAGAAACATTTGAAGAATTAAACCTAACACATCCGTGAGAGTGATAGAGGCATCCATGACCACGACCAAAATTTGAAACAAGAGCAAACTAAGGGTCGACTGCGTTGGTAGATGTATTAATTATAAAATCTTTATAGTATCAGTAGCTTTATTTACCTATTCACTACAAAGAAGAGAGTAGAAATCATCGAGACTAATATGGGTCATCTTGGTCCTAATTGCCATTTTGAATGCTTGATAAATTGGGGAAAGACCGTTCAATTTATAAAGAGTAACATCTTCAGTATCAACCGCGTTCAGTGGTGGCTACATAAATTGACATTGATTGATTTTGCTTAAAGAGAGTGTGTAGCTTGTTCTTGAGTTGAATAATCCTGGATTTGTTTGAAGAGTGAAATCGTCTTTGTAAGGTAGTCCAAATGGATGCACAGGTGTCTTAAGTTGAGAGTGTAATGTAAGATGGAATGAGAAATGGTAGAGAATAAAGTGACGAAGATATTTTGTTCTACTAAAAGCCAAGAAGAAAACTGAGGATTCAGGGTAAGTAGAAGACATGAAAGTAAGAATGAGTATTTCATTCTTGTATATATCAACAGTAACTATATGTCTGTTTGTATGTCTAAAACTTGAGTGTACAGAGAAGCATGCCCAAGGCGGTTACGTAAAGCAGTAAAGTCATCAAAGGAGCAGAGGGGAGTGGCGACAATTCCTAGCAGAAAGCATAGCAGGAGCCAAAAGCTTTTAACCAGCTTTCTAATGTGATGAAGATGTAGAGCTCTTAACATAAATATGTAGAAAAAAACAACAGCACATACTTCCATTGAAGACAACTCATATACTCATTTTATTTACAATACTTTTATTCTTCAGTGAGTGGACGAGCAGATAACCTTACATAGCTGAAACATTATATAACACTTTAGATCATGACATTTCAAAAAGATACAAATATAAATTAAAAAAGAAAAAAATAATGAAAAAGTTGTATACAGCAAGCAATCAGAACCCCTCCACACCAGGCCAACGGAGGCTGGGAGATGGCAACTTCTTGACAGAAAATAGCCTCGATTCCTCCATAGTGAGAGTGGAGGCACAAGTTACAGGAGGCACTGATTCTGTAAGTGAGATTCTGGGTGAAACTAATGGCCGGGTCATTGAAGATGGCGGTGAAGGTGAAAAATACATTGCTGGTGCTGGAACTATGAGACCGTTGAGGCTTGTGGACTTCGACATCTGCTTTCTTACTACCGCTGTTGGTTCTTGAAGCGGGTAGCGACAAGGAGTCTTGATATCTTGGACGTTACTGAGGACTTCAACAATAGTTCTCATGGTAGGTCTCTCTGATGGATCTTTCTGAAGGCATTTTACAGCAATGTCAGCAACGGTTCGAACAGCCTTTGGCGGGCACCGCCCTTTAATTCGAGGGTCGATGATGAGGGAGAGGCGGCAATCATCAGCGAGAAAAGGCTTACTCCACTTGACGATATTTCTCTCTTCTTTTGGGTGGCGGGAATCGAGATTCTTCCTACCAGTGAGGAGCTCAAGAAGGACAATGCCGAAACTCCATACATTGCTTTTAGGTGTTAGCAAGCCTTTCTCTAGAGTCTCCACGGATAGGTTTGCACTGGCCTGGAAGAAGAGCAATCATTATTACGATAATGTGCATCAGAAAACAAATGTAGCATTGAAATAATTGCATCACATTTTTACTCTCTTGAAATATCAGTATGTGATACTGTGATTTTAACAGCTCAAGATAATTTACATCACTTACCACTGAAGTGTTTACTATATCTGCCTCTGGATTATAGTTCATAAATCCATATCCCGATAGTTTTGCACTGAAATCTTTGTCGACTTGAATATTTGCAGTTGAGAACTCATGAAACATGGCCTGCACACATAAAGCAATCTATGAGAATATGATAATCATGCACAACATGAATAATAAAAAAATGAAAGTAAAATAATAGAATGGCAACATTTCTGGTACAAACAAATCGAGCACAGGGCTGAAAGAAGGAACTAAATTTCAAAGCATGTCTAGCCCAAGTAGTTCAAACTGGGAAAGGACTGGGTTTAAATTTTTTTTATCCGCAAGGAACCCCATGTTTTAGCTTAAAAAATCACTTCTGTAACAGTTAATCCATCATGAATTACATGATCAGATTATGCCTGATAATGCAACCTTACCAAATCTGCCAATTAATAACCAATTTAACCAGCATCCCAAGAGTAATGCAACTTTTGCTTTAAAAAAACATAGATGTGTTGGCCGCTGAAAGCCACTTTTAAGGCTTCGTTTGAGACGATTTTCTTATTGCTTTTTAAAATAGTTTTTAGAACAAAAATTTTTTAAACAAAAATTTTTTTACTAGAAAGCTGTTGTAGAAAGCAATAAGAAAGTTGTCCCCAACAAAACCTAAATCTTTGATATAAAAGTTACATAAACCAAAAAACCTATCCAACCATAACTTGTTCAAGAAAAAGTAGGAATTGCAGCAAAATGAACGAACTATATTTTGAAAACAAGCAGGTAATTTACAATTAAATTGGCTAAAATCAAACAATTGATTTGTAAAAATAGCGTCTAACCTGGAAGGGCCCTTCTTCGTGCAAGAAAGCAAGACCGCGTGCAGCACAAATGGCCAGCTTTATCCGTCCAGGCCAATCAATTGTCGGCCCATCAGATCTCCCATAGAGCAGTCGGTCTAAACTTCCATGGTAGAGCCTCTCATAGACCAACATTCTTTGATCAGAACCCTCACGTGCATGGAAACCAAGCAACTTACAAAGTTGGGGATGCTGTAACGATGCTGTAGTGTTCACCGCATTGATAAAATCTTTTAAATTCTGCAATATCAAGTATTCTCAATTAGACATTACAATAAATAAAGTATCAAGGAATTGAAGGTAAATTAAACGCCGATGTAAAAGCAGAATCAAGGACATTGTTATGAAAACATAGAGAAATGCATGCAACATAGACATACCATAGAAAATGAAAATTGTAAAGAAGAATGCTAATACAAAAATGTTAAGGACATTATTAAGAAAGCATACATAAATGCAAACAATATAGATAGTTCATGAATACTCCACCACTATTTCATCTGTCAAATGAAATGGTAAAGAAGAATATATACAACTTCATAAATAGCTATCATAAATAAAAGTTCAAACGGTGAAAAAAATTTTGAAAGTTGGCTTCAAACTCAAAACATAACGTGATTATGCAAGCCAGCCTATGGGTTAATTTGATGCAGGTTGTTTAAAAAAGTTACCATTACTCTCTTTTAAGACAAGCAACGAATGAGCCGGGTTAAGAACAAACAAAACTTGAACAAGAAGTAAGCAAAGGCTCAGAATTTGAAAAGCAAGATTAAGCTGGGCCTTTCTTTAAAAAATCTTCATTGATGTAATTAGTTCTCTTATAAGCAAGGAGTTAAATAAGCTTTTTAAACAGTATACATAAGCATATGAATCATTTAAGAATGCATTTGGATGAATGGATACAACACTTAAATGAATAATAAAGCTTTATTTAAGCCAAAAACATACAAAACACAAATAAGCCACCATAAAATACAGAAACAAACAAGTCATAAAGTTCTAAAAGGCAGTTTACTGAATAACTGAGTTTATTCATACGAAACCAATATTCAAGTTTGTCTTGCTAGTTCAATAAACCACTCAATTTCATTTAAAATCGTTAAAAACGGCGAGTAGCTAAACATAAATGTGTAATAAAAGCCCCAATATCATATCTCTAACTTGAATTTACCAGTTCACTTACATCCCTATTCTTTACGAAAAGCAACATATCATCATCATTCACCAACATTAGCCTTACCTCAAATATTCTAGATGGTATTAAGGGAATTACATATGGCTTGAGGCCTTTAACATGTCAAGGAAAATTTCCCTATTCTTAAGCACATTACATGATTGTTATGCTTGCACACTTGTAAAAGAGAATTCTGTAGAATTATATAACATTTCCCTCAAGTACAAGCTAGATACATGTTCTTCAGAATTACATCCAGTAATCTAATCTGCAGCTAGTTTCAAGGACTCTAATTTGTTGAATTGAAAGGATGCAATCAACCATGTTTCTGGTAATTCACATTAGGGAGTACATGAATAATAATAAAAGGGTGTCAAACATCATTCCATTCTCTCTTTTTTTTTTTCCTGAAGTGGCAGAACAATCACAATGAAAAGCACTGCAATGGCATGTCATCAAATAGCACTTACTGTGAAGCCTATCAGAATAATTCATACAGATATTTCATCAGGACAATCGTCAAATAGTAACTTATGCGCAGCAGAATCACAGAGAATACTAAAACAACCAAATTTATATAGTACAAGCAATCCCTGTTGGGTGATTATGCAAAATATGCATCAGCATTACCTGAGAGGATGGAATTAGACGAGTGACTGTAGTCTCAAGCTTCTTTGATCCCACCGAATCATCTCCAAATGTTGCTTTGTAAAAAGTTGAAGAGATACCTTCAGAAACACACCTATCAGCTGAGAAATGTTGGCATGCAGCAGCAATCTCTTCATAGGTGAAGTTCCGAAGGCCTCCTCCCCCTAATGGAGGCAGAGGCAGTGGACCAGAGTTTGGAACAGGACCAGCACCATTGCTTGATTTGAAGCTTCCCATATTCTTCAGCACAGAAGTACCCTGTGTAGATGGCAACGGGAGAGGAAGAGGATTAGAGAACCGCTGATCCTTTGTTGGTTCACCTCGAGTCTTCATTTCTTCTTGGTCCTCCAATTCAATAGAAGAAGAAACATACTGCTCAGCCACAATTAAGCTTGAAGGCGCAGAGAGTGCCCGAGCTCTATTATTCGTTGCTCGGGTGGATGAATGAACCTGTTTTGTCCGATTCCTAAAACTAGGAGGAGCGGACTGGAGAGATGGTCCACAAGTTTCAGGTTCAGGAAGTGCAATACTGATATTCTCAATTACAGAAACTGGCTTCTTGCTCAAAGAATGCTGGTTTTTCTTCTTCTTGCCTCTCATAACTGTAAAGCAGCCCATCCTGCTCAAAGAAACGAGGTTTGACCTGATCGTGGAAAGAGCAAAATTGACATTACAAATCAGAATAGTGCAAACGCATAAACAAGGAGTGACAGCGTCAGTTAGAACTATATCCAATATTAGATAGCATAGATTAAGATTTTATTAGACAGGTCATATTAAAAAAAAGCAGTGATGGAATATTATCACGGATAAACATAGTAAGCATCATGATGAACACGAGTAGCAAGATAACACGTTTAATCAGCTTGAGATGTAATGATGTATCCTTAAAAACTTAAATGTCAACCATCTTGACACACGATATTATTGAATTCATTGGGTTGTGTTATGTATTGATTTAGTTTTAGGTTATCTTGTTCAAGCATGCTACCACACCCATTTACATCTCTATATATAGAGGCCTTGTATGATGTATTGGTTGGGAAAAATTAATGAAACTTTAGGTATTTTCCTCCCCAATTGCTGTCTATCTCTCTCCCTCCCTCTCCCTCTCTATCTCTTGCAAGAAAGATCTCAAGATCTTCCTCCTTGGTTCTAACAATTTGATATCAGAGCCCTGGTGGCGATCTTCAAGAAGGAATGTGTTCTTGAGGTGGAGCATTCGGTCGTGGGTACGCGAACATGCGGACGCAGGCTGGCTGGTGCTGCAATTTCGTCGTGGGCTTGAACAGAGGTGGCAGCACTGGCAGAACGGAAGACTTGCATGATCTTGACGGAAGGCAGAGCCTGGGGATCAGCTGACGGAGGCGATCCAACGGCTTCTTGATCAGCTAGGTCGGCACTGGGATCGTGGTCGGAGATGGGCTGGAAGAGGATAGTCGGAGTCGCGTGCGGTGTCGAGTTGTGCATCTGTTCGAGTGTGAAGGCTCGGGCAAGGAGGGTTCGCGGCTACAGGCGGGACGACTGGGTCTTGGGAGGCTTTGACTGTTTGACTCTGACAGTTTGCATAATAGGGTCGGAAGGTCCAGCTGCTTGCAAGATGGGGCGGATCTCATAGAGTTCTTGGAGAACCCAAGATTTGAAACAGAGGCCATGGCCATTTTCTCTGGGGTTTGTCATTTAGTAGAGGCGATTATTGTCGAGGTTTTCTTGCTCAAGTTATGCTTGAAGGTGAAAGGTGGAGGAGCTTCAAGGAAAGATTTGCAAAATTGAAGATCGGGCTCAAATGAGGGAGAAGGTAGAGATTCATATTCAGGTGGAGTTTCGATCAAGGTAGAGAATTATAGGAGCATGTTGAAGCATCAAGAACCTCGTGGAGGCAAGATGGTCGTGAACTTGGGATTGTGACGAGAGGAGCGCAGGTGAATGCGCAGGGCTCGATGCATGGGTAGATCGTGCGAAGTCGCAGGTAGGAGCGCGCACGGATGTCCAGGGCGATCGGTTGGATTGCAACAAATTCTAGTTCTTGTGACGAGTGGTTCTTTGTTTTTGTAAAACTAAATCAAGGTGGAGATTGTTATGTATTGATTTAGTTTTAGGTTATCTTTTCATGCATGCTACCACACCCATGTACATCTCTATATATAGAGACCTTGTATGATGTATTGGTTGGGGAAAATTAATGAAGCTTTAGGTATTTTCCTCCCCAATTGCCGTCTATCTCTCTCCCTCCCTCTCCCTCTCTATCTCTTGCAAGAAAGATCTCAAGATCTTCCTCCTTGGTTCTAACAGGTTGGAATAATAGAAACCAGCTCCCAAAAAAGATAATAACTCTTTAGTTCTAGACCAGTTTGTAAGATTAAAAACATAATAATAGAAGATACAAAATATAAAAATGTTCTTCAATTTAGACTTCATTCGGGGCAGCTTTCTTAATGCTTCTTAAAACAGCTTTTTAGTATAAAAATTTAAATTTTTATATTAGAAAGTTGCTTTATGAAGTAGTAAGAAAGCCGTCCCAAACAAAGCCTTAGAATCTGATTGGAGTGGCTACAGCTATTTATAAAATTAGTTGAATAACTATTGTGTAAAACAAATTTTCTTGAAAATTATCGTGGGTATATTTTTTTCCTTACGAAAAATTAGGGCAACAGTTTTCTTATGACAAACTCACTCTAGCCATACAAATTTTTAAAAGCAGCAAATAAATTGTAGCAAATTAATAATAATAATTTTCTGAAAAACAAAATAGTGAAAAACCAGCCCCAAATCAATCCTTAATGCAAATGGAAAAAATTTGGTTAATTGGTTTCACTTTCTCAAACCAGATAACTAGAACAATTGTAAGATGGGAAACATCTCATTTAAGTTGATATGTATAGCTACAGGACAAATCCATCTCACACAGTATAACTGAAATTACCTAATTACAGATATTTATAGTAATCAAGCATGGCACAACGAACCTCCATTAGTTACAGCTGCCAAAAAGCAAAAGTCTAGAATTTATGATAGAGCTCCTACACCTAATTTCAGAAATTATAGGATCCCAAAATGGATCAACTATTGATGCCGTTAACGTTTTTCCGCAGTTATCTTAGTATGATCGCATTAACACTTGCCATCAGCCACTCCGCGCTGTAAGAAGAGATCATACTCCGCGCATTAAGCTCCACCAAGCGATGAATTCAAACTGTACTGCCATCCAAGCAAACGAACTCCAGGATCCAAGAACAAATTACGGATGCTGAACCACTTCTGAAATTTCTTTCCAAATCTGAATCACATCCAAAAAGCTTGCCGAGAGCTTCTAAAGTAAACTTATAAAACATAAATTTCTCAGATTCACCAGCCAAAATACTTCACGAAATGAAAATGGACAACCAATCTAACTTCTTTCAGCAATCGCAAAAGGCCAAACCTAAATCCCAAGCTTCATCTAAGGATTTCAGTAACAACTACACATTTTTACGGAATCTACCGATAACCAGTACGATTCTGCAGCTACTCAAAAACCCACAATGTAGCAATCAATCCATGCAAATTCGAACTCACTTGCAAAAAAAAAAAACATACAAAAAGACCAAAAAAATATTGATAACCTAACCTCAGAAAACGCTCTCTGTGCTCGCCAATCCGAGTCCAATATGAAGCAGAGACTTAGCTTTTTTTTTTCGCAAATTGGGGAGACCGGAGAACGAAGGACAAGCAGAATAAAGGAAGATCGATGAGAAGCTGAAATTTAAAAAATAAAAAGAAGAATAGGAAAATTCAAAGGGAGGAAAGGTGTAAGACAGACGAAAAAGCAGCAAGCTGATGGCGACAGACAGGCTTTGGTCAAAGCTACAACGCCGACTACCCTTTAAAAAATCTTATAATGCGCCTACAAGAAATGCCCCTGCTGTTGCTTTTCTTATCTAAATTGCCACTCCTCATGATTTTTCATGTCTTTGTTTGTTTTTTTTTTCCCTAATATTTTCTTAAAAAATACTTATCTCTAATAAAATCCAATAAAAAGTATCAAATGAAAATGTTAAAACGATTGTGGCTGATATATCACCAAAAATTGCTCTCATCAAGCACGAATGAACATCCAAGCTCTGATTTCAACATATTTATAGTCGAATTGAACATCTCGAAGAGATGAGCCCAATGATACTAAAATCAGTCCAATTCGAGCCCAAATCAAATATCCCAAACATATTTGGAGACTTCAAAACATTAATTGGATAACTAAATGACAGTCGAATATAACATGCTTATAGTTTAATCAAGCGGCTCACGAGACGATTCCAATGAGCCCAAGAAAAAGGAGGAAGATATATGGTGGAAGAGAAGATTTGGAGAGCTTTCTTGTCGTCAACCACCGTCGGCGTTCTTTCCGACCACCGTCAAAATTCTTCTAAACTGTCGTCGTAGTTCTTCTAAACCACCGATAAAGTTCTTCTCGACCGCCGTCAGAGTTCTTTCTTATCACTTTGAAGTTCTTATTGACAGCCGTAAAAGTTCTTTCCGATCATCACCAAGCTTTTCACCAACCATACTCGTCTGGAGATTGATAAAAAATTTCAAAACATTGTATTATCCCAATTCTCGGATTGGAGGATAGATTGATTTTGATAATCTATTCAAATTCTAGTATAACAATTTCAACTGGGTAAGGCACCATAGTTTTTCTCTTTTTCAGAATTTTTCACGTAAAAATCTCGGTGTATTCTTTATCATCTTTCTGTGTGCTGAGAATTTTATATATCGCTAAATAAACTATTTTCACTCCATTGTCTCAAATTTTTCAGCCCGCAATAATGATTATTAATTAATTTCTTTTTTTTTTCTCAATCATATTATAACCATTTTATAAAATATAATAGATTTAAATTTCAATATTATTGAGGGGGCTCAAAAAATTAAATTTATTTTATTTCTTTTACTATTATTAATTAAGGAAATTAATTTTAAAATATTTTAACAGGAAATATTAAAATGTTGATTAATTTAATTTAATTGAATGTTATTTATAAATTGCTTATTTATATTATTAATAATTTGTATAAAATCAATTCTAAGAAATAAATTATAAATTTAGATGCATGGAGGAGTAATCATATTAATATTCATATCATTATTATTCTATAAATTTTATGTTGATTGTCGACTATACTAACTAATGTAACTTTTCTTTTCTTTTTTTCATTCAAGAATTAAAATACAGCAACAACAACGTTAATCTTTGAGCTCTAAGTGTTAGTAGTTTAATTAATAATATTAATTAGTACAATTTTATAATTTTTTGACATATATGAAGCTCAATTAAGTTAATCATTAATACAACAACGACAATATCAAGTCTTTATCCCACAACGTGGGATCGGCTACATGAATCATTTTTCTTCATTGTGCCCTGTTAAAAGTCAAATTCTCGTTTAAATCTAATAAAGAAAGCCCATTTATAATATTTTTTAACTAAGTCTTTTTAGATTTACTTCTTCTTTTTTTAACAAAAGTCAAATCTAATACATCTACTTTTCTAAACGGGCCATCAGAAGGTTGTCGTTTATGTGACCAAACCATCTAAGACGACTCTCTATAATCTTATCTTCCACTAGAGCTACTACAACATTATCATGTATATGCTCATTTAGTATCATATCTTTAAGGAAAAAGCTACTCATCCTC